AAAATCTAAAAATATTGGTAAGAAAATATCAATTTTCTTCGGGCCAACTGTTCAAACACCAATATGTCTGTTTTCGTTGCAGATTGACCCTAGCTTGCATTAGTTTAGACCTTCTAGAGGTTATTCCGTGAATTGTGGTTTGTTCCGTCCATCTCTTTGTAAAGTATAAAATATCTTATAAAAAACAACATTATCTGGTGCCAACCTTTCATTAACCATTTGTCTGATTCCGTTGCGGATTAGGCTTTACATTATTTTGGAGGTACTTCTTGACAGCAATTTAATTCTAAAAGCTATAGCCCAATGAATACTGCTGCCGCGAAAAGCCCGCTTGGCATGTTCAGTTTATTGTTGTTGTTGTTGTTTTTTTACTTCAATTTGTTCTTTCTCTGTATAAAGAGTAAATGCGACATTGTCTTGTGTTTTGATGTTCCCCTTACAGCAACATATGGTACAGATCTCTAACCCAACAAAAATGGCATGGAGAGTTTCGCTTGGCATGGTCCGTTTTTTGGACAAGCAATTTGTTTCTTCTGTATATAAAGTATAAAACCCCCAAAACATTATTGGTACCAACCGTTATAATACCGTTTGTCTGATTCCTATTAGCAATTGCAGTAGTTAAGAGGTGCATCTTTACAGCAATATAAGGCACAAAGTTCTAAACCAAGAAAAATGGCCTGGAGAGTTCCGCATGACATGATTTTTTTTACCAGCAATTTGTTCTTTCTAGACAGAAAATGTTTTAATTTCTTTATCGATATGCTGGATGAAACCACGACTATTTATCAAAAAGACTAGATAAATGTCAATACACTGTTACGAGCCAGGCGTAACGAGAAAGAAAAGCCAGCAACAAACTTGTAACAATAACAAATTTATTACAGAAAAATTATTAAAGAAAAATTAAATAACAATTTATGTTTACAAATACCTGAAGTCCAAATAAAAATATAAATCTCAAATGTCTTGTCTGATCCTGGAATGATCCCTTTTTGAATAGCACAGTTAAATCCAAGTTAAATCCAAGAACACTTTAGAATAAATTCCCACAATAAAATCCACAAGAATAATTTAATCTATTTTAAAATCCAAGCTCCAATAAATTACTTAATATCCAAGTTGAATAATACTCCAAATGTATTGATGACTTAAAAGGTAACTGATGACTTAAAAGGTAAAGGGAATGAAAAATGTCCCCTATATATATTAAGCTAAGAACATTCCAGAATAGTCTTCCATGTTCTACAGTAATCATAATCTAGCAACTTCAACAATAAAGAACATTCCGGAAATTTCTATCTAAATATAATGCATGAATCATACTCTAGAATTTTCTACAACAGTTAAGAAAGTTCTAGTACATACATGTAGTTTATGTTCTAAAAATAGAACAGTGATAATACTATATACATATAATATGTTGCATACATAACAGCACCCATGGGTAACTATCCGAGAACTACATATACATAGGGGCCAAATAGCATTTCGATTAAATCTGTTTTGAATAATTGACCATACATAACAAAAATAAAAACTTACCGTTCAATATTGTCCTCATATGGGAACTTAATCAACATACGTTACACTGGAAACCAAAATATTGTAACAATCATGACGAGTTACAGCCCTTTAATACAGGAACGCCATTTGCAGGTAAACATACGTAAACAATTCGTTGCACTATAAACTATATTTTTTTAAGGTTAGTTTGCTATTATTATGTTGTAAGTAATAATGCGAGTATTCATTTGATGTAATTTTAATGAAATGTGTAAATAGTTTCTACTACAATATTTTATTTGATATTATTCGTAATGCAGACTATATGATCTATATAATTTTATTAGCAGGTGCTCGTTTCTGTATAATTGTATTGTAAGTTAATTAGCCAATCATTAATAGCCGTAAGAGGGCGTTGTTGTGCAAAGTATATATAAGCAGAGGTATTCAAGGTGAGTTTGGGTCGAAATCTTTCATGTGAGGAAGCCATCCAGCTGGCTTACGGAAGGTCGGTGGTTCTACCCAGGTGCCCGCTCGTGCCTGAAATAAAGCTGGAAAAAAATCGACGAAAAATCTCGGCGGGACGCTCTAGGATGGCCCGACTTGAGTGTACGGTCGCCCATATGGGCTTTCCGGCGGCGACCTTAAATAAACGCATCCAAAAAAAAAGTGAGTTTGGGTTTGTGTTGGTGGAAGTCAGATTGTCAACATCTAATCTTGGAGCTTTGAAGTTATACCTGCTATATATTGTCTGTGATCCGTGTTCTCTAGGGAGCAAAGCTACCGGAGAGGATTGCAGGTTTTTATATAGTAAACCGGGCTGCAGGATATTTGTTGGATAATTGTTTGGAGATAAATAAAACAGAAACATAGGAAGTACGAGCATAGTTTAATAGGTAGGCATCGAGACGGGTTATTTGTTAGAAAGGCATCGAGACTAGGCATAGAGACTAGGAAAGATTTGGGATTGTAAACAAATATATCAATATTGTGTATTGTTTATCTAATATTTGTTTAATTCAAGTTGATTAATTTATATTCCAATTATTTTGAATTCATTGGTCTTCAGTCATTTAGGTAAGGAAACCTAGAGGAAAATTATTAATATAATATATTGAATACAAATACGTACATATAAGCTCGGTACATGTTACAATATCTTTTCAACCGGTGCACATTTCAGTAAACCATATGAAGTAACGATATAAATGACTCCACTTTGCTGTCGATTGTTTATTTGTTTTATATGTGCAAGCACATGTAAGGATGATAACAAAGCATAGAAGTATGATATTGAAAACGACATAATTTTCCATGGCGTTTCTGATACAAAGGGAAGTAACTCTTAAGTGCTTTGTTAACATGACTGGACTAGAACTCTTTTTTTCCGAGATTTTTTAGGCTTTTGTGGCTCAATGGAGTTCCTTTAATATTGTATATAAATGAAAATCATTTTAGTATGTTTGGTTTTATTGCAATTATACTCTTCCATATTTAATTGCAAAATGACAAATCACCAATCTTCCTGCCATTCCAGAATTGAGTTGTAGCCTCCTAAAATTCGAAAAGAAAAAAAAGTATATTACGTATTAAAATAGAGGATATTGAATGAGTGTATAAGATAAATACTGAATTTATTAAATAAGTTAGATGAAATTGTATTATTTTATTTAACAGTTCAATAAATTCAGTAATGAACTTTCACGAATTTAATTTATCATTTATCACATACCAAAAATAAAGACCGTTTGAAGTGAAAAAGAACATTTCGCGTGTCTTTTCACTATGTTTGTATAACGCAAATGGCGTCGCGTCAAAATATATGCACGGCCGTGCAATAGCATTTTACGGAGTCGCAAAAGCGGCTCGGGTATGTGATAAATATATTTCTCACAATATATCCTTAAAGATATACTATGCTCATGTTTGATATTTGAAAAAAATGATAACTATTCGTAGATATAAAATAAAAAGGACCAGCTTTACTTGACCCGTCATAAGGAACGCATATTCCAAAAACATACGTAGATTGTATGTTCTTTTACTTAAATAAGAAATGTGGAGTAAGAATTTTATAAATTTCAATAATTTTCTGCAATAAAAATATTTTACTCAAAGATGAGCATAGTATATCTTTAACTATGCTTTTATATAATACAAGCGTGTTATACAAGCAATTATTGACTTTATAATGTTCAAGGCATAAGGGACAGGCTGTTACCAAAAGGTTAGTCAGTACATGAAATACATGTTTGAAGGGAAAAATAACACGTTTAGTTTATTGTACACACTAAACTTTTTTAGTTTTTTTTTTAATATTTGACAAGAGAGAGTAATTTACTCACTATGCATGTTGTTCTGTTAAAGTTACCAATCACTGGCATATACTTCAACTAGTCAATGTATAAGGCTATCGCCCGATGCATTGTTTATTCTAATTATCAATTATAAAAGAACGTCATAATTTAATATTGGTAGAACAGTTTTTAGCGGTTTTAGACTTAACATCATAAGTATTTTTTATTTCTTTTATCAAATAATGTTTACTGTCATTAAAGTGTACTAGTATTTTTTGACAATATTGACCTAAAACTCATTAATTTTCAGGAAATTTGTCCGTTAGTTGTCTTAATTTGATATGATTTGTTACTGTTAGGATTTTAATGGTACTACAGATCTCGATACTTTTAATCAGGAAATACTGCTCGATGAAAAGAACCACTGATTTATGACCACGTTGCGAGTCCTAGCCTTGGTCAAACCTTTTATTGTTATATTTATAAATTGCTTATTGTGTCGCCTCTACAAAGTATTGGCGACATATAGGGGTCACTTCTCTGTCGCCTTTCTGTTCTTCCGCATGTCTGTCCGTCACAGAACAGGTCCGGACGACTCATCAACAACTTCTTGTGCAATTTCATCCAAACCTTACAGGAATAATAAGTACCCTGTCTAGTTGTGCATGTCCTCGCCATTTTTCGGTTCTATGATTTTTGTCAGTGTTATGGCCCTTTGATTATTTTTATTTTCAAAATTTGTCCGGACTGCTTCTCTAATACATGTACCACTAATGCAATGTGGATGGAATGTTAAAGGATTGATAGGTTGCATAAGATCTTGCACTCATTACAAAGGTGGTTTTCGGGTTGAATGATTCTTGGCTGAGATTATGACACTTGCATAAAAACGCGTTTCGGCTTGATCATGTGTCTTCTGCTGCATAGTAGTTTCAACATGCAAGTGGCTATAAACAGGCGACACAAGCTGATAAACTGTGTGTTTCATTTCCAGCATTTTTTAATTTCATAATTTTTATAAATACATATTTTTTCATTTCATTAATTTTAATTCTTATAATGAGTGGCTCGTATGTAAAACATATAGCGGTCAAGTTCTGGAAAATATAATAAAAAATCGTACAAGTAAAAAACTAACTGAAAGTCTTCCGCCTAGTCATCGAGCTAGTAAATGGTAACTTTCTAAGTTAGTTATACATACATGTATACCGCTGTACCATGCATTAAAATCTGCATGGGGTATTTCGAGATCTGATAATTACCGACAACAGGTCAATAAATATTCAAATGTCTTAGGTCAATATTGTCAAACAATACATTAATACATTAATATAATATTAAACATCGTCGAATCCCGCCGTTCTGTATAGAAAAGTATAAAGCATTTGGAGTTGAAGGTTAATATCAAACATATACATGTATCTTAGAAGTTAAAATAGAGAATCAGTTTTATATCATTTTTCTTATTTTTTTTTTCTAACCAAGCGTACCTGTATCAATCGGAATTTGATTGGTTCCTCTTAGCGGACATTTGTATATAGTAGACACCATTGATGGGGAATCTGTGAAAAAAGAAGGAAACACCATTTTTACAACTGTGAAGCTACTTACCCCTATCTTGTGATACAAAACAGAAAGTTATTCAAATATTAATTCACAATTCTGAAATAAAAAATATCAGTGTAGTTCAAAGTGAAAATGGAATTGTTTTTCGTCAATTATGTAAAATGTAAATAACCCCTTGCACAGGAAAACGTATTGTATCAATTTAAATGTAAGTATGTTTCACAAAGATTGTGTATCTAAATTAATTTTATTGCATAAATGGGAAACAAGAAAAACACCAGAAACAAAACCACAACAACAATAGCAGCAGGCAAGTAAGTAAAATACTCGTTACAAATAGAAACTTTAAGGCATATTAACCGATTAATGTTCTCTTTTATAGAGAGGAAGACATTTGTTTTTCTATATTAAGATAATGGCTTTAGAATATGTGAAGAAAATGGCGTTGAATGTGAAATAATTTGTGAAAAGGGAAGTAAAATGTAAAAAAGTAAGTATTTTAAATTCCATACAAATACTAAAATAATTTTAAGTGTACGTTTTGATAAAACACAAATAAGAGATTGTTCAGGCTATAAATAAACAGCAGAAAAATGAAACAAAACATTCAAGATAAAAAGCTTTTTAAGAAATTTAAATGATAGCATTTTAAGGCTTTTAAAGCGCTTCACATGTAGTCACAGCCTAAATACCTTGTACTATTATTGACTTCAAAGAGGAGGGCATGAAAAGCATACTGTTTCTTAAAAAAATGCTGACTTTAAAAGGTATTAGCAGTGAACATTATCCCACCGGAACCGGAAGTGACTAGCCGGTGAGAGGATGTATTTTGTACAGACTCTGCACAGTCGGCAGCTTTAATTCTTGAAATCCCTTAAACTTCATTAGATTGTTAGAATTCAAAACAGAGCAACCCCATTACTCAAAGTCATCAGCTTAACTCCTTTTTCCCCCGCTAAATATTTCAAAAGTCAATAATTACGAAAAAAAAAAGTTTTATATTTCGTTTAAAGAGAATGGGTCTACAATGGGACATTATTCCATGAATATTTCAAATGTTCACACAAATCAACAACAATTGAAATGTATCATTTGGGTACTGTGGTGCCGTTATATATCGCATCGACGCTAAATGTCGCGCAATCGCCGCAAATTGTCGCAACCGCTAAATGTAAATGTTGCAAAATATTTTGCTATTAACTGCCAAACTACCTTTAAATGCCGTAATAGTATAGTCATAAAGGAAATTAAGTTTAGTTCTTGTATGTATTTAGTAACTTTTGGACATAAAATCAGTCACGATCCAGATGAAAAATGCTTATTAAAGTGGATTAGTCTTCAACGGGCATATTTCGAGAAATAGTTAAATATTGATAAAAACAATAAAAACATATCATTTAGACACTCTTACAAAATATCTTAGTAAAATATTGATAATAACAATAAAAATATATCATTCAGATACTCTTACAAACTATGTTTATCTATTTCTGCATGATTTAATTTGGTATTTAAATAATGAATTAAATATTTTGATCTATAACATTTAATTTTCAACATCCACATATAATTCTTTCATGGTATGTTACCGCACATTACAATTGCATAAAATAAGCACAACATAAATATTTCAAGTAGTGCATACTTTTTATCATAGACCAATCTACTTTTTGGAATGTCCTTTCTGATTGCAATTAAAATGTAAAAACCATTGATTAAACTTAACTTTGCAACCAGGTGGGTATAATACTCTTTTATTGTTTTGTAACTTTATAAGTAGACTTGTGTCAATCTACATGCCCCTTATCGCTGTGGTTTCGAATCTTTGACAGAGACTTTCAATTATTCATGTGAGGAAGCTATCGAGCTACCTTACGATACGTCATTTCGTGCACGTAGGGACACAGGTAATTCTCCACCAGTAAAGCTGGAAAGTCACTACATGTATATGACTTTACTGTGTTAGCGTGACGTTTTAATGTTTAAAGTTTGTAAAACTTATTAGGAGAAATAAAATAAAAAAGATCAAATAAGGTTTTTATTTAACATCTAGGCTTTTGTACTCCTTGTTATTTCTAACAAAGTCACTAAGAGTTACAAGGTTGTAACAGAGTTTATTACTCCTAATTATGAATAAATTTCCAATAAATACTCATAAATTTTAACGAGGGTTTAAAAAAATCTATTTTTTTTAAATACCCCATGTTTTAAAGTAAAAAAAGAATCAAAACACGAGGCTATTTTTTGTAACCGGGGGGGGCGTGCCGAAAATTGCCGATTTTTTGATGTTTTTTCTCTTTTTTTTTCATGTCGAAAAAAAAATCGCGTTCTTTGTCACAATATGAAACCCCAGAAAAAGTTTTTAACCCAAAAACTGCTCTGCATATGAAAAATTTTTTCTTTTTTTTTCGTTTTCCCCTTTTCCCCTTTCCGCCCCCCAAAAAATAAGAAACCCCTGAATAAAACCAAAAAATTTGGGAGTGCGGGAAACTTAATCCCCCTTAGTTAAACGCACGTGAAAGTTATGTAAACTTTTAACTCTGACACATTTTCAAAAAAAAAGGCCCCAAAAATAGTCAATTATACTTTACATATTGACCTTTTTGGAAAATGTGACAGAGTTAAAAAAGTATACAATACATGAACAGTCGTTAACGGGAGGCAGGTAAGATAGCCTGATGCTCTTTCTTTTATTACCCGTATATAATTTTTTTTTACTATGCTGATAAAAAATTTTAATATTAACGACGAATAAAACCATTGTACACAATTTCCATTAAAGACAAAATTCACTTTAAAGAAAAACACCCCCAGATTCACTCAAATTTTTCAAAAAAAAAATCAAATCGAGTATAAAAAAAAAATATTTCAAGTAACCAAAGCAAGCTTTACATTTACAATGCATTTTACAACTCCAAAAAATTACCAAAAAAGTTTTTAAAACATCTAAAAAAACTCTTAGCTTTAAAAAACGCAAATAGGGGATTTACAAAATCTGAAAAATCAGTCTTTAATCGCCATAACGTTAATTTACTGAATGTGGAATTTTTTTCCCCTAAAATTTTAAAGTCAATTTTTCAATTTATTTTATAAAAAATTTTTGTCTTTGGGGGAAATTAGTTTTAAGTTTTTTCGAATTTAAAAAAAAATACCTATTTTCATTGGCGTATATCCATTACAGAGATGACCTTCACAGCAATCTGCTCCTAATTTCTGGTAATTCCGTTTTTCCCCGCTTTTAATGAATAACTTCAGAAAAACACTTTTCACAAAAAAATGAATTTAAATGTAAATGTAAATGTAAATAAATGTCGTAATACATACAAAAAATATTACCTGTCAGAGTTTCACTTTTGAAATTTCCTTTTACCTGGAACGTCTCTGGTGCGTTTTGGAGCACTCTGGAACCACACGCTTTTTGTCATCCTGAATCTAATAATCTTTATATCATTTAAGTAAATTTTACATTTATATTTTGGAAAACAAACAAGAAATTTTATGTTCTTTACAAGGCTTGAAATAGATTTTATTAAATTGATCTATTAGCTCAGGGGGTCCGTGGTGGGTGGTTCAGGTGTTGACTTCAAAACTTTCCCCTCACCCCTGTGGGGTTCAAACCCGACAAAACCTCCGCAAGCCTTTTGGATTTTTTATGTAGGGGAAAAATCCAGCAGCACGGAACGTCGGTGGTTTTACTCAGGGACCGTGCCCCGAAATAAGCACGGAAAAAAGGGGATTGAGGTCTTCCTCCCCGTAAAGTTTGGGAAAGGGCCCTATCCTTTTACTGTGTCGGGTGTACGTAAAACCCCAAACAAACAAAAAAAACAATATTAGCTAGGTTTTAGAATTTCATAAAAAAGCCCAAGCAATTCTTTAGGGATCAATCCCAGACTTCACACTGAAACAATGATCCTCGGCTAATAATTCAATCGTAAAACAACAATGGGGTAAAATTTGCGGACTATGCATTAAATGGGGTTTGGGAACTTTAAAAACTTGGGTGTGGGGTAGCCTAAGATGTGCGGGTTGATCCATTTTTTAAATGCCGGTTCTCCACTTTCAAACAACAAGCCTTATTTGTTTCATTCTACTTTGACTGTTAACATTGGTAGCTTTTTTTTTTTTTTTATTTTTTTCAAGACCGATTTTTCTACACCACAAATATATTTAGTTTACCTTCTCAAATTTTAACCGACTGCGGAGCCTCAGTTTGCCTTAATGTGGCTTCGTCGCTGAGTGGGTGATAAAAATGATAGATTATGTTTAAGATGATGATGATGGTGGTGTTGATTGGATAATGTTAATTAACATGATAGGGTGGTAGGGTGATGGATGATAATTAGTTGCCAAATAGGTTCACCAAATCGTACCAATGCTTGTTACAATAACAATGACATATTCATATGATAAAAACCGTTCGGGTAAATAATTATTGTTAACCAGTAATACCAATGGTTATTTATGTTATAAATGGTATTTTAGTACACTACCGTAGGGAATACTGTGACCGCAGTCAATATTTCGTCCGTATAGAGTTTTGAGTGTTATATATGGAAACAACGATTTTTTAGTCTTATACGTCCATACATAAACTTTTTAAGCCTCATACTTGAAAACATTAACATTTTCAGTCTTTAGTTGAATATATAAACTTTTTGAGTCTTACATTATACATTTACATTAAAACATAAAACTTTTCTTTAGTCTAATAGATGATTACATATACTTTTGTGAGCCTTACACTTGAGTACATAATGGGCTCATGAAAGTACATGTATCAAACACATGCAAAAAAGCCACTGATCTTTTAAGTGATATTAACAATAAGTATGATATTTGATATTTTTTTAAGAAAAAAAAGTTCATAAATCATGCAATATTAATAACTAACGTCATCATTAATTGAAGCCAAGTCATAAAACTTTCTGTCATTTGTAAATAGAATTTTATCATAAAAACGTTAAATCACGTTTTTGCGAAATGCCGCTCTTTACATAAGGATGCTTCTAATTACTAAAATGCCACTTATTACGCACGCAGGTTAAATAACTACTGTCCGTAACATTTTGTACTTTCAAACACGTCATGCTTATGTGAAATGCTAATGAAAAAGATCACTGCTAATTGGCCAGAATGCGTATGAATCCAAACTCAAAAACAATGTGTACAGGGTTAAAAACTGTGACAATAAGAGGAACGGTCTATGTCAAACTTGTTCATATCCTTCCGGCTAGTTCAATAGGTAGAGCATTGGACTGTGAATCGGGCGACCCGTGTTCGATTTCCGGACGCGGTGCAGGTCATATTCATTGTAATTGATCTAATGACTAATATGTCACTTATTACGCACGCTGGTTAAATAACCACAGTCCGTAACATTTTGTAATTTCAAACACGTCATACTTATTATCAATAAAAGTGAAATACTAATGTAAAAGATCACTGCTAATTGGCCAGAATGCGTATGAATCCAAACTCAAAAACAATGTGTACAGGGTTAAAAACTGTGACAATATGAGCAACGATCTATGATATCCTTCCGGCTACCTTAATAGGTAGAGCGCTGGACTGTGAATCGAGCGACCCGAGTTCGATTCCCGGGCTCAGTGCCGGTCACTTTCTTTTGATTGACCATGACAATGTTTTAAATAGTCATATGCACTGTATCTTTGCTTTGGTATGTACAGAAGTCTACTGCTTGACAGCCTGCCCAGGAACGATGAACTGTGCTCGGGTTAATTCAACGTGGCTTATTGCCGTGATCCGGAGTGAAAAATACCAACACCAAAAAGAATGCTCATAAAACGCACCTGTGTCCTGATACACAGCAAGGTGTACCTTATACCAGAACCAAATGACATAATTTCTTTACCACAGGACTGAAAAAAAATCAATTGGTCATTGTATTTTTTTTAATTGACAGATCAAAAATACAGTACGATTATAAAATACGGTTATAAAACACAAAAATGCCTTTTAGAAACTATTACAAAGTATGAAAACTGTTACAGAAGTAGTTATAAAATAAGATTACAATTAAAAAAAACGGATATGGAGTGAGAAAACAGTTACAGAAACAGTAACAAAATATGAAAACAGTTATAGAAACAGTAGCAAAATAAGCAAACAGTCATAAAAACAGTCACAAAATAAGAAAACAGTTATAAAAATAGTCACAAAATAAAAAAGCTGTAGCTTTTACAGCTATACAGTTATTGAAAAATGTATCAAAATAAGAAAACATTTACAGAAACAGTTATAAAATACGGAAATAGATACAGAGGCAGTTACAAAATAAGAAGGCAGTTACATAAACAGTCACAAAAGTGAAAAAACAGTTGCCGCCACACAATTTCAATATATTATACGAGTAGTAATATTGTTCTTACATAGCCTGCCTCGCAGTTCTTGATAACATTACAGTACTCCGGCTGTAAAACGTGATCGCAAACAAAACATCGACTTCCGGGAAGATGGCTGACATCAACTTAAACGAAAATTGAAATGGAGGTCGATGAATTTAATGGCGAGGTAAGATGTAAAAATCTGAAAACAAGGTGATCCCTCGGAAGCATTAATCACAACAAAATTACATGAAAATTGCGGACTTGGTTTGATTGAGTCTGTACATGAGGGATAATGAATAAGTGCAACATCCCTCACACCCCCTAGCACCGGCTTGAGTTGTACTCAATTCTCAACACGTAATAGTGCTTGCATCAATGATCCCGAAGGACCAGAAAAATATAACAACAGTGACGTGAAGTATGGAGCAACGTTTGCAGGCTATTAAAACAATTTGGTGACAACCATTTTGAAGCATGTTAAAGCGAGTCTGTTGAAGAGATCTGAAATGTCTGAAACTTTTCTAATGCGTTGTTATTAACACATTTGATGGTATAATGATATATAAAACCTGTTTCGGCATTTGATCGTATATTTACATATAAAAATTGTTACCGTATTTTATTGAAATAACATATAAACAGTCACTTCAATAAATCGTAAGATAATACAAGAATCGTCGCTGCATTTGATCGTATAGTAACATATAAAACCACTATCGCATTACATTGTTTAAGAACATATAAAAACCGTTAACGCATTTGATCGTATAAACATAAAACAACAGTTACCGCATTTGATTTGTAATAGCATGATAACCGTAACCGCATTTCAGTGAAACCGTAACTGCAATTGATTGATAAATAACATAATCAAAGGGCTGCATGCTCTTTCGTATATTCTGATCTTTCCTGTATAAGTTTATTTTTATATACTATAATTCATCTTACGCAGCGACAGTGTTTAGATTTTCTTCTATAACAGTTTGAGATTGATACATATGGAATTTTGCATGCCTAGAGTTACATAAAAAAAAAACATTTTTCTTTTTTTTTATGACAGCCACACTTTATCCTTGCATATCGTGGCTACTTCCTTAAAAAAGACACTTAAAAAAAAAGTTGCCCGCGACTAGGATTTGAACCTTAGGCCTCTCACACCCTAAACGAGCGCGCTACCTCTGCACCACAGTGAAGTAAAATAAAAACAAATACATTATAATTCTAAAATTGAAAATTTCCATTTATTAATTTCGAGGTATTTTGTTCACGATAAACCTGTTGTTCAACACTGATGAAAATAATTTAATCTTCTCGCCAAAACAGTCCGACATATATCGACAGTCAGATTTATTTGTGTACTACGCTATGGAGTATTCGGTTATCGACATAGCTAAAAATAGCATTTTCATTGATTAAGCTTTACGGAAATAGTCGAACATTTTTCATTTGGTATAAAAGATATTCATCCGCGAAATTTGCGATTGTAACCTCATATTTCTTCTGACTAATCTAAACTTTTAATGCACTGTAATTCGATTAATGCCTCCATTAAAAACTATTCTTTCTTTTAAATTGCTGGTTTTTAAGCAGTTTTGAGTGAGAACTACTTTGCGTTGTTAGGTCTGTGAGGAAATTTTGTGTTAGACCGTGGATGTTAGCTTTGTATTTACTGATCTTGCGATCAGAAAATACAAAAACCCGTTGCTGCATTTGATCGTAATGACATATAATGGACTTTTCCATCTTAAGAAAATTTTACAAACGAAAGTTTAAAGGGACTCCACTGAGTTTTTGTTTTTAGTTGTTATTTTATTTTATTTATTTATTTATTTTTGACAGGACGGAAATAATTCATCAAGATTAAGATTCATTTGATGTTGGACTACACTAATAGCTTTAAATAAATTTTAGATTGTTCGCTAACTCAAATAACCCATAATACTCAAATCGGGCTAAGAATAGCAAGCAAAACACAATGATTTTAACATTTTTTCTGGGTATATTCTAATTTATCATTGATATCTTTCTATACTGAGTGCCTCAGTTGGTAGTTGAAATAAAATTAAATTCTTTGCTTTCAGGCTTTTTGGGCCTCATTGGAGTTCCTTTAAAGGCCTATGCTTAAGTTACAAAACATACATGCAGAATAAAAACGGTTTTAAACTTGCGTGAGCTTAAAATATGAAAACAGAAAGATTTTAAGCGAAACCCAAGCCCGTTTTCCAGTTGTCTGCGCTTATTTTTATTTTGTTTTTATTATTTTATTTTTTTTTGCTATTACAGGTCATTTTAACGCAGATAAATATATATACGTATATATGCCTAAGAAACCCAATGTTCACAATTTGTTTAATATATGTTTTTCATATTTTGTAAGAAGAAACTGAAAATGTGTTAATGAGAAACATTTGAGCCGCGTCACGACAAAACCAGCATAATGCATTCGCGCAGTCTTATTAGGAACCATGCTGTTTGCTATCAGTTTCACTACTTGTAATAGGGTTTGTAAACGAACAGCATGGATCCTGATCAGACTGCGCGGATGCATTTTGTTCCTCCACATAACATTTTACTTGCTTTCTGCCATCATTGGCGCCGGTATGCAATAAAAATAAGGATAAACTTCAAATTAAGGGCCAATAAATAGAAAAGGGACTCGCTGACCTCCAGTTTTTGTTAATTTGTTTCTGTTCTCATATTCTCAAGTCTGACTCATTCAATGTTTAAAAAATTCTATTTCTAAGTATTCAATCTGACTATTTGTCTATAGATGCACCTGTAGCATAAGCCTAAAAATATTCATTTGATACAGAAAAAGTAATCAATGCCGTAGGTGCTTCGAAAAAAAACCATACTTTTTAATGACGCACAGTATACGTTATTAAATTTTCTTTTCGTGGTTTCACAATAATCGTGCGGCTCGTGCCCAAGTGTTTCTTACGTATTTGGCGGGTCAAATTCCTACATCAGTACAGCTAACAGGTCACCAACATTTAGTTATTTTGCTAGAACAAAAACGTTCTTATAAAGGTCACAATTGGCATAAAAACATTTAGTTATTCAACAAGAACAAAAATGTTTTTATCAAAATTGTAATTATACATGTGACTCAACGAGCTTGACGTAAATATCGACCTTTAATCGAATTTAGTATATCGGGTTCTGTTTGTTGTAAGTAATGATACATGTACTTTAACTTTATTGACTAAAAGGATTGATCACTTCGAGGACTATTTGAGTAGTTGGGACAAAAACTCCATTTTGTCTATTTAAACGGGTCCGGACTGCCCGGACTACTATATGACAGAAATCAGATTTGTCTTTGGACAGTTTGTCTGTGGTATGCAAGCTTCATACCGTTAATACCTTCTCAAAATTCAATTTTATTAGTTTCGCTTAGTGTTTTCTCGTTTAGGTCACACGCATTTATTTACTTGCAGACCATATGCCGCTTTTCATGGAATGACTCTGATATATCATGTTCATGGTTTCCTGATACCCGACATATTAACACAGTTGCAGATTATTTTAAATCTAAATTTTACCATTTCATATCAAATGATGAATTCTGCGTAAGAATGTGCTAGTGGGAGTTGGCTGTACTCAAGTACCGTCCATGAACAGGCTCAATCAAACTCAATCAAACCGAGCCTGCAACATTTTCAATTTTGTCGTTTTGGACATTCTTTAAGAATTATATTTCTCTCTAGTCCTCTAGCCTTTTGTAAATATTCGTCGCCTTGTCTTTTTCATGAAAATAAAACAACCTTACATATTGCAAAAACAGTCCGCCAGGTGCAATAATGGAGGGGATTTGGGCGGCGAAGATAAACACGTCACTTTGCCTTCTTGCATCAGTCAGTTCAGAAAGGGTAACAATTTTGGCAGGGAACAGAAAACGTTGCCTTGTGTACTTACATGAATCAGGACAACCATATATATTACAGAAATCTCCGTCACGTGAAAGAGGGTAGAATGTTTTGGCGAGGAGGCGGGGAGGCAAAAACGACGCCATGTCTACTTACATGAATCAGGACAACCGTACATATTACAGAAATCTCCGTCACGTGCTAGAAGGGAGAATGTTTGGGCGGGAAGACAGTAAACGACGCATCGTCTACTTACATGAATCAGGACAACCATGCATATTGCAGAAATCTCCGTCACGTGATAGAGGGGAGGGTGTTTTGGCGGGGAGACAGTAAACGACGCCTCGTCTACTTACATGAATCAGGACAACCATACATATTGCAGAAATCTCCGTCACGTGATAGAGGGTAGGGTGTTTTGGCGGGAAGACAGTAAACGACGCCTCGTCTACTTACATGAATCAGGACAACCTTACATATTGCAGAAATCTCCGTCACGTGACAGAGGGTAGGGTGGGGCGACAGTAAACGACGCCAATGTTTACTGACATGACTTAGGACAACCATGCATATTACAGAAATCTCCGTCACGTGATAGAAGGGAGGGTGTTTTGGCGAGGAGGCGGGGAGTAAAAAAACGACGATTTGTCTACTTACATGAATCAGGACAGCCATACATATTACAGAAATCTCCGTCACAACAGTGATGACATACAATATCTCTATCTAGTTGTCCACTATGTATCCCGACTGAGGTTTGATTGGCGCTCCTTTTTCTGATCTTATTTTCGTCACCAAAGCAGCCGATTGCGTCACATTTCTAGAACAGATTAATCTAAGATGTAAATTTTGAAAGGACAGAAAAATTTCGCTTTTCAAAGCATATAAAATCTTTACAGAAATAGTCTCTTTTTTCTTTATTCTTAAAGCAGCATGCCTAGCGTACATTCGTGCTGATTTAATGAACATGTTTAAAAGGTTTTAAATTGTAAAATATTGTCAAGTGGAAAAAAGAAATGAAATTATACATTGCAAAAGACACTCGATTATTACCAAATAGAGGTCCGAAACTGCAAAAAAAGTCCTAAATTCGTTTGTCACGCAGTACAAATATGGTGATAAATACTATCTAATGCAGTCATTAAATGCATATAACATGTAAATTATTCTGAATATTTTTACTTTAAAACCTTAGTTCATTTTTTCAAGGTTTGTTTTCTTGAAACAGTTTGGCTCATCTGAAGGCATGCAAATTTAAAGTAAATATTTTTATATTTAGTTTATACAAATTTATTTAAGTTCGATTGTGTTGGAAGCTATAAGCTTATTGAAACACTCTCGAATCCGTTCCTGGAACCAACCAGTACTTAGCAATGAATGTAAAGTTATATATATTATTTTCTTTTATCAAATATAATAGTACTGCGGTAGTTTAAATTTTCCTTTTCTACTTATGTAAAAAAAGAACTACTCCTAAAAACATCTTTGTAAACAATTTTAAGATTCGTGAATCATTACGTAGATTTTGATTCTAATATACTATAAAGGCACAATAAGGGAAACTTAACATAAACTGACCGTTTTTTCTCGGCACCCAGCGTTCACTACAATTTCACCACCGATGTCTATTTCTTCCTCCACATAACATACCTGAAATTAGTAGATATTATTCTTGAATTAGAATTATTGGAGAGTTTTATCTTATCTAGTGCATATATTTTAGAAATGGCTCTCAAAATGGCGGCCATGGCTCGAAGCAAAAAGAGCCTTATGGTAACGCGAGTACTTGCTAGATAGTGATGGTTTTAAAAACTTTCGTCGGCAGTACTGAATTGACAAATCTCAACTTTTCGAATTTTAAGATAAAAGCCGAGGAATTCTGATAGTCGGATGCGTAGACTGGTGTCCTGCGCACTTTTTAGGAATCAAAATAAAACAGGGAACCAGAATAAACGGTAGCAGTGTATAAAATACCGAATGACTGTTTTAAAACGGAAAAATGTGAAATAGAAATGAACGATTATTTGATACAATTTCATGGTAAAAATTAATCGAGCTCACTTTGAGGCTTTGCCGTTTTCACATTAATTGATTTTAATGTCAATTATCTACTTTGTGTTAACATCATTTGAATACAAGTTCAAAAAACTAATCATCAATATTGCAAAAAATGACCATTACCAATTAAAGTCACTAAAAACACAAAATAAAAGCCTTCATATTTGACACTTCAGTAACAGTTTATCAAATAAATTTTAAGAACTTTATGGGAATGTGCAGGGTTTAAGGTCAACCACTCTTCCCTCATTGCTGTGGTTTCGAATCCCGCGACGTTAAATCTTTTGTGTGTTTAAGCCATCTAGTTAGTTTACGGAACGTGTCGGCAGTTCTAGTCAGGGGTCTGTACGGAGGGGCACTTGAGGTATTCCTCATCAAGTAAAGCTGAAAAGTCGCCATAATTATGACCACTTTTGTGTTGGCGCGTGTGACTCAAGACCCAACCAGAAACAATAATCGCACCGTACAATCAAATGGGTAGACAACCGTTCAACACGTCGACAGCCGTTATAATATATACATGTCGCTATAAAAACATAATTGAAGGATGGTAAGTATTTATCTATTTTTAACATATCCCAACTGTGTTTGAGTTTATCAATGTTATGGATTCATAGTCAACATCTAAAGGAGCATGCTAACAAATTTCTGGCCCTGTGCAACCTTTTCCTTACGTGAATTTTGATTGAAAATAACCACACTTTCCGATGAAATGTGGTATTCTTTAACAAGTCACAAAAACTTACGTTTCATAGGCCGGAAGATACAGAAAATTCAAAATAGCGTTTTTAATTTGACAGATAGGTAAATTTGAAACGGGTAAGTGTTATAAGGAAGGTTACTATTGCTGCCATAATAGCCGGTGAGAGTAGCCTCCCTTGATATCATAGCAAATAGCGCAATGGTTCAAAAGGTTGTTACTGTTGCCCTCAAATTAGTCGGTTAGAGTGACATCCCCTGATATCAGGGTTTAAATTGGAGGTTACTGTTGCTCTCAAAACAAAGTCGACGAGAGTGTCCTTCCCTGAAAACATAGCAAATGGCGTAAGAGTGCAAAAGGGCGGTAACTGTAACTATCAAAATCGAGTCGATGAGAGTTATCTCCCCTAAAAACATAATAAATGGCAAAGAGAATTAGTGTTGCACTCAAAATATTGTCCGTTAGAGTGGCTTCCCCTGATAATATTGCAAATGCCGTAAGGGTTCAAAAGAGAGGTTACTGTTGCGTGCAAAATCGAGATGGTTAGAAAGACCTCCCCTGGTAACATAGCAAATGACGTAAGAGGGTTTTTTCTAGGGTCTCCTATTTAGGAGAATCAAAGTTCTTATTGATGTTTAAGACACCTTTTTAAATTAGAATTTTTCGACCATGCGACCACATACATGCATCGAGGACATGTAAAGTGACTGTGCGTTCACAGGTTTCCCCTTCTCTTATGAGAAAGAGACAAAGAGTTGTCCGCCCTTTGAATGAATGGCAGACTTAAAAAATATGCCATTGCCTTATCGTTATTGATAAGGAGGCTAGTTTTTACAAATATGTATTGAATCGGTTTAAATACAACAATATAAATGCAAACCACTGGGGTTTTTAGTTAACGTCTTTTTAAGTCCGCTTTGAAATTTTAAAAGGACCATAAAAATTATATAAGTTCTTGGAAAAATTCTACTTTTCATTCTATGTATAAAACAGAATTATTTTAATTTTGCAAAACGTGAACGTTTTAAAAACGTTTTTGTATGCATCAAATATTCGAGAAATATTTCACACTTTGCAAATTTTAACCTGCGGGCATAATTGCCAAAGTACTGTTCAAAAAAAATATCAATGGGAACAAGAACTGTCGGTAGCACTGCAACGCTCGACTACTCTAGTCCGTCCCTATACATTGTATGCTCTCAAAGAAGAGTATAAAATTTCAACTTGTTGCAAAGCCAGATGTCAATAGTATAAGAAAATATCTGATGTGGTATGCAAACTTTAACGTAAATTCTTAATCGAAAAAGGGGCACAATTCTGTCAAAATGCTTGATACAGTTACCTCCTCCTGTCTACATGTTGGGGTTATGAATGTGAACAAGTGTACAAAGTTTCAAAACCATGTGTCAAAGGACTTTGAAAATATTTGAGGTATTACAAAAAAACTTTAACATAAGCGGTTACGCCGACGCAGACACCGACGCCGACGCTCCGGTGACTACAATAGCTCTACTTATTCTTATCGAAAAAAAGTCGAGTTCAAAATAGATAAGGCAGATTGGGGTCTAATAAATAAAACAGAAAGTAAAACGTTATAATTGTTTAAATGTGCCTTAATAGCGCAGTAAGCAGAGCGTCCGTGTAAGTGTTATTTGTCAGTGTTATTTCATGAATTAAGATGCTCGTAATATTGTTAGGTAATCTCCATACATTTGAGTGTTTTTGTTATTTTGTTTTTTTATCTTTTTCTTATGACTTATTTTGTTTCAAATAGTTAAAAATGCATTAGAAAGAATATTTTTGTACACAGGTTGATATGCAGTTGTGTTAAGTTTGGGGAAAATATGAAACATCATAAAAAGCATTATCAGAAATGTAAAAAAAAACAATGAAATAAAGTATGAAAAAGTAAGATATCTTGATCAATATTTTCAATTTTTAATATTTTGCAATCGTAGTGTGAATAAGATAGTTTAAATGTCAAAAATGTTGAATAAAATTAAAAATAAAATCACTTGACATGTAGTTGGTTTCTTTATAAAGAGAGGAACAAAAATGAAATAAAAACAAATTGTAACAGAAATTTAGAAGAACAAAATATATTCAAATGATCATAAAAAAAGACAAAGTAAAAATAATTTTATCTTAAAGATATAATGTATTTGAGTTTGAATGTCTTAAACATTTGAGTAACGTCATCAACCGTTCGCCTCTATCTAATGATAATATCGACATCCAACTCATCAGAAAGAATGAATAACGCTGAAAACCGTTCAATGAAACAATTTTTAGAGCTGTTAACTAGGAACTATATACAAATGTAATGATAAATGGTACTTTGTATAATGGACCTCATGCTAACGAAATCCATCTACGCTTCAATATGCCTCAATTCGCACCTTGTTTAATATTCATTTCCGCTCTTCACAAAATTATTTTTATATGAATGATTTTAAAGATTCTTTGTATCAGATCTCTGTCAGTGTTTACACAGGAAAAGCCATGTTAACTTAATTTACATAAGTTTTTAATACTCAATAACATGTTACCACTCTGCGGGAATGCAAACATGGCTCCGCATTATTTATTCATGCACTTGCAAATCTCAGGTGACACAGCCATTCACTGCATGGGATATGTCCACTATATGCCATATATTGAATGAACAATTTTTTTTACCCCCAACAACCATCAACCAATACACGTATGCACGCGTGCTCGCCCACTAATTTACTTATTAACTAACTAATAATCATACTTTGAATTAATTGATATGCTACAAAATAAATCGTTTTATATGGCGGAAATTTTAGAAAATTACTGAAGTGTAGATGGATTTCGAAAGCATGAGGTCCATCAAAAGGACCATTTAATTTATATTATTTTTAAATGAACATTTCAAAGTAACTATAACACAAAAGCCCTAATAAATGTTTCTTTAAACGGTTTTCAGCAATTATTCATACTTGTTGATGAGTGGATGCCGATGATATGATTGAATTAGAGGCGAACGGTTTATAACGTTACTCAAATTTTGAAAACATACAAACTTAAAATAAAATACCCTTTATCTTTAAAAGGAAAGCATTTTTAAAGGTATGGTTTGGAATATTTTATGACGAAATGTTGACTCTTACGAATCGTATCTTAAAATGATTTATTATCATGAGGAAACATAAGTTTTTGTGACTTTAAAAAAAATGCCGCATCTCGTCGGAAAGTTTGTTTATTTTCAATCAAAATTCACGTAAAGTAGAGCTTACACAGGGTCAGAATTTTTTAAGCAAGCAGGCTCCTTTAGATGTTGAGTATGAATCCATTAACATTGATTTACTCAATTACAGTTAGGATATGTTAAAAATAGATAAATACTTACCGTCCGCCAATCATGTTTTTAGACTGATCGACATGTATATACTTGTACGGCTGTCGACATTTTGAACGGATATTTACCCCTTTTGATTATCAGCATTTTTTTGTTTTTGTTTTTACTGTCATAACAGTACGTCATGACAGTACGTCATGACATTGAATGACTAAATTTTCTGATCATGTCAATAACTTTTTAAATGCTGTTACGTGCTGGAAAAATAGTACGTTAACTAGTCTAATATTTTTTTCTTATAAACAAGTGAAAGTTATACCGGAAATGAGTTATACCGGAAATGGTACATAAATGTCAATAACGAGCTCAATCCCTGATAGAAACGTTATGAAATCGAGTTCGAAATGAATGTACATTAAGAAAGGCACTTCACCGAGATGCAAAAGCGTAAACATTATATGAATTGAACTCCTTACGTGACAGATAACTACACACGGTGAGCAAAAGACAATGAAGAAATGTACTCAGAAAATCGTATTTTTGTTCTATTCTTTGCCTGATTTGAGTTAAAATTGTTGCATCGCTTTTCAATTTTGTGACATTTGGAAAAGAATTTAGGATAATCATTCCGGTAATTTTATCATCATTTCATACAACAATAGGAATATTAATCTGGAAAAACTATTTCCAGTCCCGTCTTGTAAAAAAAAAACTCCTCAGTGCAGTCCCTTTAATGTACGAATTACTGAAGCTCTCAAATGTATGTACCAGACTGGTACTGTTGTTTCAAAACTAACAACAACAACAACTACGAAAACAACAGAAAATTAACTGAAAATATGTCATTCAAGTGTCATTATGCCCATCCAATGGTATATAGTGAGTAAACATGTGAACATATAAATAAGTTTTCATTTTGCAATAATTCCTTTTGATTTATTTATTAATAATTGACTTCGCAAAAACAATATATAACGCACGGATCCTTAAGAATTTTCTGTAAATATCCATTAGAATTTAAGTGAACAAAAGAGTTGGACAGTCTTTTTATATTTAAGGCAGATTTACAATTTTATCCTAAACGTTTCAAATATCGCCTGTTGGTCAAACACCATTTTAACAGTCAATCTTTTGAAATATAAAGTCAATTCAGCTCAACTTGACTATGAAAGTTTCTTTAAGTTAACTTATCTAGATATTAACGCTTTTAAGATCTGCTTGAACCGAAAGTGAGTTTTTGTCATCAGTAACGAGTCCCACAAGCTTGTACGTTCGTGCAATCGGACCATGTATACTCTTAAATATTCTATAAAGCTAGCTAACTTGATATAATGGACAGTGACATCGCTTCCATTTTCACTCGGAACGCCTCGATGATTATTTAGCCGAAAAGTTGCGATTGTTGCCTATTATCTTTGAGTAACATTGAAAATGGCGGAATTAAAAGAATTCAGCAGATAAAAGCTGCATACCTGCAAATAAGCCAAACTTGTTCAAGAGCATCACACTTGAAACAAGAGGGCCATGAGGGCCCTGGATTGCTCCCCTGACCCATCAACCGCATACAAGCAATTACTTTAAGTAAACAAGCATCCTGGCCAAGTTTGATGACAACTGAGTCAAAAATGTGACCTCTAGTGTGTTAAAAGTTTTCCATATTTGGGCAATTGCGACCTAATTTTTGACTGGAGCGACCATATTTCGAACTTGAGCCTAGAAATCATCAAAACAACCTTTCTGACAAATTTCCTGAATAGTTGGATCAAAACTGGATTCACTTGAGTGTTAACAAGCTTTTTCTATTTTTAGCTCCTGTGACCTAGTATTTCATTGAGACAAACATTTTGACAAAGTTTGATAGTGATCCAAGTGAAGATTTTTCTATTTTTAGCTCCTGTGACCTAGTTTTTAACCGGAGATGACCCATCTTTGAACTTGACCTAGAAATCATCAAAACAACCTTCCTGACAACTTTCCAGAATTTTTGGATATTTTGACCTCTTTTTTTGTAACTTACATATGGATTGTAAGCATCGTTTGGTATGTGTAAATTAATATCTTTGTTAACATCACAATATTTTATTTCAAAAACATTTCAAAAATTTTTCAATGAACCATTAGGGCATGAATCTGAAACGGACCACGTGTTCTTAACCCCAAGGGGAACTTTACTTACCTCTTTAATAGGGGTTAACTACCATTTTCACACATATTCCTTCCACAATGTGGTTTAAAAGGGGGGCCGCTTTTCCCTACTGGACAATGCATTTTAGAAACATACTGACCATTCACTAAAAAATTAGGGGAATTTTTTAAACATATGAAGCCATGCCAATATTACAAAATCAAACATAATAGGGGTTTTGCGAACCAGATGGATCCAGACGAGGGGTCTGCGCATCCGGCATCTGATCAGGATCCAATTGCTGTTTCTTACCACTCTTAAAAAGTTAAGAGAAACTGATAGGCGAAAACAGCATGGATCCTGATCAGAATGGGGAGCAGGGCTGGGTCTAGTTCCATTGCTGTTCGCAAAAAAACCCATTTATGTTGGTTTGTTGTCGTTGACGCCCGGCTCATTTTTAAAGGATTTAGTTCCCAACATTTTAAAGCGGCCGCTCGACCGAACAAAAAATCATTACAAAAAAAGGAATATCGTTTTTTTTCACCGATTTTAGAGCCACAGCGACTTTTTGAACTGCATAAAAAAAACCCCAAAATGGGGCAAGACTAAAAAACGGTTTTTTGGGGACCCCATATCGTGGTAAAACCCCGATCCCAATGGGGGGAATGTATTTTTGTTACTTTTGTATTTTGTAAAAATGAAGATTATTTTTGGGAAAACGAAAAACATGAACATTTTTCAATAATTTTTTTTAAATTTAAAACTATATTTCCATAAAAATTAAATAAATTATAAATCTTAAAGGTGCATACTAATGAAGAATTTTCAAAAGACATAATTAAAGTAACTATATGAAACTTGTTCAGAATTTTTACAATGTGACAAACATTTTACATAATATAATTCATTCATACAGGAGACTAAATCTTGTGATTTCCTATAAAATAAATGTAGGTGAAAACAAAAATACTCACCACTCAGAGTAAAGGCTGATATTAATACCATACACGTCCCTGATAAATAAATAAATAAATAAATTTAAATAAATAAATAAATAAATTAATTAATAAAAATAAATAAATTAATTAATAAATAAATAAAAACATTCTCTAAACCAAACCACAAAGATTCTCTAATCAAAATCACAATAATTCTCTACTAGTACATTCTTTAAACCAAATCACAATGATTACTTTCAATTTAAAGCAAATAGAAACCCTTTGTAATAAAACTAAACCAAACTAAACTGTAAAAGTAAATATAAAACCAATTAATAATTAAAGACTCTAAAGACTCTAAGATAATAAAACCAAAATATACGAGGAAAAATATTGCTCTGTGATAAAACCAAAACAAATATATTCCCCTCTCTCCCCCATCCACCAGAAGCATAAATACTCTTTTAAATAAAAATACAAACGTAAGATATATAAAGAATAAAAGGATGCAATAAAATTATAAAAGGAAAAGGAAAAGAAAAGATAGAAACGTATTAATTACACATGTCTTTTATTATAATACATGTATGCCGTTTGTTTATCTGAGGCTAAAGTTCACCCAAGGTCAAGCGGAAAGTGTCGTCTGCTGGTCAATTATGTACAGGTGAAACATTCGTTTGAAATGAAAGATAAAATGTCAGTAACCCGGGAAATATCAGCCATTGTACATGTAAATCTAATGCCGCATGTATAAATATTTCAATAAAATCAAACTTGAGAAAAATGTACTGAGGTGTAAGGAAAAGTAAAAACGTTTCAAGATTCAAGTAATATGAGCCGCGTCACGACAAAACAAACATAATGGTTTTGCGACCAGCATGGATCCAGATCAGCCTGCGCATCCGCGCAATCTGATCAGGAATCATGCTGTCCGCTTACCAACTCTTACAAGTAGAGAAACTGGTATAGCTAACAGCATGGATCCTGATCAGACTGCGCTTGTCTGGATCCATGCTGGTCGCAAACGCACTATGTTGGTTTTGTCATGACGCGGCTCATATTTTACTTACTAGTAACATGTAATTCTAATTGACAGATTATATAGCCGACTATACATGGTTGTAAATATAAATAACCAGAGCCGCAAGGAGATGGTTTAAGGCCCTTTATGCTGCAGAATGCCATTACTTTTATTTCTCAAATAACTTTTCTATGTTTTTTATGGTATTTTGCTAGTTTCCAAAACATACATAGTAGTACTCATTTGCCATATAGATAAACTATATTTTTCTCCTTTTGCTTTTTTGTCAATCGTAATAAGTTAAGTGATGGGAGTCAAAATACCGGTACTACTTTGTTTACATTTTGGTACCTTTACCACATACAACTGCACATGCAGCGCTACTTTTTTTCAGTTATCTAAACATCTGACATACTCTTAATCTATTATTGAGACATAATTCAACACATATTGACATTTCTAAAGAATTTAATAAATAGGGAATTCTGAGGCAAAATGTGCCTTTTAATGACACACAAGCGTTTAAACATGTCAGAATTGTTTATAAAGAATTTACTATATAATGTACAGCAGAACTTGCCTTATTTGAAGATAAAAACACACATTAACAATTTACAAGAAGTGTTTATACATCTTCAACCAAGAAAATTAAAAAAAAATCAATTTTTCACTATAAAAGTAATGGAAACCACGGAAACGCTGACAAAAATGGCGCGAACAAAATGTTTTTCGAAATAGGGAAGCGAAAGCATGAAATTTATAATGGTTTACAGGGTTTAACAAAGAGTACGTTTATTTAGATGGTCGGGTTTTAAGAAGCATCAGGACTGTAAATGTCATATGGCGACTTCACTGCATTATTGCTGGAGGAAGACCTTATATCAAGTGCCCCGCCGAACATTATTGCAGGCATGAACGGGCACCGGAGAGAACAACCGACGTTCCGTAAATTAGTTGCACAGCTTTCTCACATGAAAGGTGCCCCGCCGTACATTATTGCAGGCATGAACGGGCACCGGAGAGAACAACCGACGTTCCGTAAACTAGTTGCACAGCTTTCTCACAGGAAAGAATCAAAACTCACTGGTTTGTTTCGAACTCACAGCGGTGGGGTCCAAGTGTTACAAAGGCTATTATAAGGAGACAGCAGTAACCAGTCAAATGGAAAAATACCTGAGATATACTTACGCTCGGGGAAATTAGATTCTGTAAATTTTAAAAAAGGGGAGGGGGGTTCTGGCATAATGAGACTGGAAACAGGTTTCGAATTTTTGTAAAAAATGTTTTACAAGGGAAAGCTAAGGCTAAGAAAAGCTCAAAAGTCCTTTTTAGCTTATTCTGAGCAAGTTTCGTTATTGACTTTTGCTTAGTTTGGCCAAAGTGCGAGAATTTTTAGTTTTCATGCCCTTTAGACTTCAGTTGAGTCCCGCATAGGCCTCATTAAAAGCCTTTACATGTAATGAAATATTTATTAAAAATAAACCCATTAAATTAACCTGATGTGCATTTAACCTGAAGTGGGTCTTGAACTCTTGAACATTTCACGCGGCGTATAAGCGTAATAGATTTGACCTGTTCTGAACTCGGAACCAATTCATATCTACGGACTTCATTATCAAAATACCAGTCTAAATTTGAACTGCCTGACAAATAGGATCTACTAAGATTTCAAGGACGAGCAGTCTAGACAGTACAGCCTGCGTTCCAGTCTGTCCACTTTTTTTGTGCTTCTGGTCGGCAAATCGACGATAAGATCAAAACAGGATCGAGTATGAAATAGAGTGTATGTTATGAATAAGCAAAACATCTCAGGCTATCTGGACGGTAAAGTTTCTAGCTATGCCGCCGCCGCCGCGCTTGTAGAGTAGTAGTAGGGAAGCGTTCAAAAAAAGTGAGACGGTCTTTATAGCGAAACAAGAGATTTTTTTCTGTTAACAGATTTGATGACATTAAGTAGAACACCATCCCAGTACAAATTAATATCATACTCTCCCATATATTAACACCAATCCTTGGTTACCGAATCTGAAAATTTTCTTTCACGAACTGTAAATTAAATTGCTTTCTTATTTTTGAAAAAAAAAATGAAATTGTACTTCTTTTTATAAAAAATCTCATTCCAATTAAAACTCATCCATTAACTTTTCGCATGACCAAATAAACTGCACCTAACTTATTAAGTACATCGTCCTGAAGAGATATAATTTCACTTACCTAATCCAGAATTGAACAAAAAATTCATTTCTACTTCACATACTGTTTGTACTTTAATGTTATTGAAATTTAAATGTCTAATTGTTTTATACTTATCGTTGAGGACAGATAAAGACGGCGTTTGTAGTCACGAAGTCCCTAGCAACCAAATATTTCACTTAAACACCTGCACACCAAATAAACAAACACACCAAAAACAGGCGCAGAAAAATGTAAAAATGTCTTTGTTTTAGGACAGCTACACTGTCTGCTGTTGTTGAACACTTTTAAAGCTACATGCCTCCAGATGAGTCAAAATAGTTCAATAAAATCAAACTTGAGAAAAATGTACTAAGATGTAAGGAAAAGTAAAAAAGTTTCAAGATTCAAGAAATATATTATGTGCGATTAATAACTGATTTTTCAGAATTTACAACTATATTTCTACTGCCGTTACTAACGCTGTAAAGGCTATTTATGAACATTTTAAACACTTTTTGGTAGTCATTGATAATGTGTAAATTGTTTCCTTTTGGTTTCTTCACAATATTACACATTCAAATACATTTTCAAATTCTCATGAAAATTAGTATAAATCTGAAGGTGTGCTGCTTTAAAAGATATTTTCAAGCATGCTTACGCAGTAAGGGCTATTAATGCATATTTTGACCTCTTTTTAGGTAATTTACATGGATTGTAAGCGTTGTTGATATGTGTTAATTAATATCACTTCACAATATTTTACTTTTAAATACATTTTCAAAATTTTCATGAAAAATAGACTGAATCTGGAGGCATGCTGCTTTAAAAGGTACTCTGGTCCAAACGTCAGCTTTCTAAATATAATTGAATCCCATATAGGCGCAGACGACAAATATTTTAGAATTTCCGCAATGGTTCATCAAGAATGCGGAAAGAAAATGTAAATTATCAACAATCCTTGGAATTTAGAAACAATTTATCTACTTCAACACGCGATTGGATGGTGGTTGAGCCATCGTTTTTATTACTCAATGTTTTATATTGTTTATTTGATGGGTTTGTTGACAAAGGCGCCAGTTTAACCATATTACGATTTCCAAAAGTTGATTTCAGTATCAACTTTTCGGTCCTTTCCGCCAGTCTTCCGTTAAGCTTCTGGTGAGTGCGCGCGCGTGTTGTTTTTGTTTTCGCGCGCGTTGTTTTTGTTTTCTTTTTTTAATTAAATGCAAATCAAGAAATTTCTTAGGGCGAAATTAAAAATTTCTTAGATATTTATATAATTCATATTATACAGTAAATAACCATTGCAAAAATGTGATAATATAATAAAAAGAAAACCGTTCAATCCTGAATCCTTTCTATGACATCCCGGACTAGTTATAATGGATTGGCTGTAAAATAAACTTGTCACCGATATGCCTACTTACTCATATGTATACATGCATGAATTGTATCATAGTTTGGGGACCTTTCTGTTGAAAAAGTTAAATCGTATACATATACATGCACAGTGCGGTAACTGGAGTGCGGGTATTAGTTACCCGCACTCCAGATAATGCCCGTTGATTGGTTCATTTTTGCTGGGGTTTACATATTGTGACGGCAGAGAAAGGGAAAGGGGCAGAAATATCATATTCAAATGCTCGTTCATTGGTTAATTTTTCCTGTGGTTTCATATTATGACAACAGGGAACGTGCTGTCATGTTTGACTATGATACAAAAGAGAAAGAACACCAAAACACTCGGCAATCTGATTTATACTCGGGGGCTACGCCCCCTCGTACAAATCAGATAGCCTCGTGTTTCGGTGCTCTTTCTATTACTTAACATAAGCACTGATGCTGATGCATAAAATGCAACTTTAAACTATACGCTTTAACTAAAGAAATCCATATTTTTTTATACTTTGGAAAGGCCAAACTAACTACTATCAGGGGAGGTAAACAAAGTAACATTTGTGTGAACTGCTGTCAGGGGAGGTAACAATCTATATTCTTGTACGACTACTCAGTATTATCAGGGGAGGTAAGCAGAGTAACATTTTGTGTGAACCGCTCTAAGGGGAGTAACTATCTATCTTGTACGACTACTATCAGGGGAGGTAAACAAAGTAACATTTGTGTGAACTACTGTCAGGGGAGGTAACTATCAACAGTCTTGTACGACTACTAACATGGGAGGTAAATAAAGTAACATTTTGTGTGAACCACTGTAAGGGGAGTAACTATCTACACTCTTGTACGACTACTATCAGGGGAGGTAAACAAATTAACATTTGTGTGAACTACTGTCAGGGGAGGTAACTATCAATATTCTTGTACGACTCCTATCAGGGGAGGTAAACAATGTAACATTTGTGAGAACTGCTGTCAGGGGAGGTAACTATCGACATTCTTGTACGACTACTACCATGGGAGGTAAACAAAGTAACATTTGTGTGAACTGCTGTCAGGGGAGGTAAACAAAAACAGAAAACACAATCAAAATATTTCAGAATTCATTAAATGAAAGATATCACAATATATCAGAAGAATATCTTTTATAATCAAGGACATAGATATTTATTAGTTTTGCTGGTGTAATCAAAGGTAAAGTTCATCTGTTATCACATTATTATACTAGTATATATTGCTTTAAGCCATTTCATATATAGACTGAAACCAGACATGTATTGCTTCTATGCAAGATAATCTTCAAGAAATTTACCTTAAAGGAAAGCCACTGAGGTTTTTTTTTAACATGAAAGGACTTAAAATATTTTTTGAGACTTGTGTACTATATGATGAATGTCTTGACTTATAACTAGTGTGAAAAAATTTCACACCATTCCCTCACTCCATTTACCCAGAATGATTATTTTTAATGTGCAAAGTGACCAAAGAATGAAAAGCATTGCAATGATTTTCACTAAAACCTGGTTAAAATCGTGCAACAAATCAATTTTCAGTTTAACTGTGTATACCTTAAGAGTATACTTCTTTGTCATCTTTTGCAGATTTTTCCATTTGAAGTACATCACTTGATGTATGCAAGAATTTCTAATTTATGTTTTTAGTCTTTTTTTGACCTCAGTGGAACTCCTTTAAGGCTTGTTAAAAAAGCAATTAATGATTTCAAAGTCCTTGCTTGTCAACCATTTTAATAACTGTAAAAAAAACTCAAAACCCAAAGAGCTGCTGGCAGCGTGCTCAACAATTCTCAATGTTTAATAGTTAAACAAGAGCATGTATAATGCAGAAATTCACAAATAGGAATATTTCATTCAAGAAATAAATGACATGTTTATGAGTCTTGGATATTGACCGTAGAATTTTCTATGTTCAGAAAGGGCCATTATCCATTCAAAATCCATGTTAAGAGTTATGTGCCTTGGAGAGAGACATCCAATTATGATCCAAAAAACATGTTTTAAGTTTAAAGTGAAAACCATCAGTAGTTTTGAAGTTGAGAGCAAAAGTTACAGGAACAAATTTTGTATGTTCACAAGTCAAAGGGGAATAATCCAAGAGTTGCAGACTTTGAATAGTGATCTCCAATTATGCTTCTAAGTCTTCTTTTAAGTTTCCAGTTATAACTTTCAGAAGTTCAGAAGATTTAAGTGGCATGCAAAACTTAGAGCAACAAACTTTGTAAGTTCACAAAGGGAAATAATTTAGTCAAAATCTAAGCAAGAGTTGCAGGCCTTGGATAAGTGACCTCCAATTATGATTCTTATGATCATTTTTTTTTAAGTTAAAACTTTCAGTAAATTTGAATATTTGAATTGCATGCAAAACTTAGAGCAACACAGTTTGTAAGTTGACAAAGGACAATAATTCATGGGTCTTGAACAATGTTAAGTTACAAGCAAATAATTATATTGAATTGAAAAGATATGATATTGCACAAGAAACTACATATAAAACTTTAACCTAAATTTAATGTCAACACAATGAATAAAACGAACAGCACCATCATTCTTCAAGAGTTTTAATGGTCAGCAACACAAAACTTATAAGCTTATCTTAACTTGATCTGTAAAAATTTGAAATTAATATGCATTTTCATAATATATTCGTTCATACAAACAATATATATAGAACCTTGTGATTGTATTTAAATTATCTAAATGTATGAACATATACATGGGTGCAAGTTGGAAATTTGGAAAAACCTGAAAACATAAATTTATAATCATTTTCCTACATAATATAATAGTAAAACATGATGAAATTTGTCACAAAAAACTTGAGCTTCAGGCATATGCCTGAAAACTTGCACCCATGCATATACAACCTATAACCAGACTATATTGATAATATCGTAATAGTTTTAGATTTGTAAACCTCTGATTAATAAATTTCTTGTCTTTAATTTGGTTGTTGACAAAAGAAACATCTTATGCCACTATCTCAAATGAATTAAGATATATGTGAATAAGCTACACACCATATTCTGTGACATATAGAAAACAACAACAACAAAGCACTGGTACAAAATATACGAACAACCTGTACCTTGGCTGAAAATTTCTGTAAGCCAAATTTGCATAATTTTTTTCTTTTCACAAACAAATTATATCACAATGGGATAACAATTTAACCAAATTAATGGTATATTCTGCTCAAATTTGATATTTGAAAATAGCGAAAATTGCTACACTGTCTTTTCATAAATATAAAATCAACACGTTTATTATTGGCAACCAAAAATCAAAGTTTTAGATTCCTCTCTGCACTATTGGTGCATTAACAATTAAGGCTCCCATGTTTACAATTTTTTGTAAACGTTTACACGATTGGTAAGAACCGAAACGATACCGTTTAAACGGTGGTACTTTTATGTACTATACTACACCATGTATTCGAGTCGCCAGATGATGACTTACTTTCTATTCTTAACACATGTACAAAACAAACAAATAAATAATGTTCAGGGCTCATCACGATTGTGTCGGCACACATTTTCTACATTGAATCCCCAATTCTCTCTTTTGAAAGATCAAATTTACAAAACATGTATTACGTCACGAGCGATTATTGCAAAGCAATGCTGTGTGGAAGGTTGTAAACACCCATTTTCCGTTATTTTTTAATTATTTGCTTATAGAATGTCAATTTCCTGTGGTTATTTAATACCCATGGATAATGTTCATAAACAGAATAAAATGTTCGGAAAAAATATCATTTTGCTATTTCAAGTAGGGTTTTATCCGTTTAGCAATGATTTTGTGCATGTGCCATTCGTTTTTAAGGCAATAAATTACAATATTTATTTCATACAAACATTTTGGAACTATACTTTTTTAAAATTCAAACAACAATTTTTGCATCAGATATATAGCTTTATACACTTTAATAACAAGGGCTTAAATATACAAATTATCAATTCTATGCACTAAAGAGGTTTTCAACAAGCAAATCTTTTGACTATATATCACCCGTCGAATGATACAATACACCCAATTAAAACTTTTAAGTATTATTCAACTCAGTGTATTAACTTGATACAAAGCTGAAAAAATTTGAAATGTCAAGCAAATGAACATCCTTCCAAAATATAATGACAAAGAACATCCTTTCAATATATAATGTCAAAGAAGATCCTTTCAATATATAATGACAAAGAACATCCTTTCAAAATATAATGCCTTTACATAACAGTATTATTTTGTTATTATTAAAAATAATTTGGTCATTCACTTAAAGTTTGTTATATGAGAATTTCAATCCTTGGGATTTGCGTGTAATGAAGGCATTTTAATGCTCCAATATTCAAAGTCATTGAATCCAATAAGGCCAGGAAAAAACATAATTTAAATACTAACTTTGATTTATTTTCGTAATACTAATTGTGAGGTGCATGTCATCATGTATAAATTAATTAAAATTGATACTAAATTTTATACTAAACTTTTTGTATTAAATTTTTCATGAAATCACTATCAAGATCTAAAATGTAAAATATTTTATAACAGTTACACATAGTTCTTCAAATATCATAATTGACTTAAGTTATGCTTGATACAAAAAAAAGAAGAATATGAAAAATAACAAAGAGCAAAACCTGGTATGAAAAAAATATGAAGGGCAGTAACTCCAAACTTATGCATAAGAGAGTTAATGTTTTATGACAAACAACGCAAAATCTATATCCTTCCATCTTTGACGAGGGGTAAAAATGAATAACCACTAATCAAATTGGTAAAATAAATATTTCAAAGAATTCCTTTCTTCATTTCTCACTTTTTCATAATTATGTCAGAATTTAACCACATCCGCTGTCCCCCAAGTTACTGCTTCTATTAGAAGCAGTACGATTATCCTCACTATCCGAGTACATTAGATTACGTTGTCCCGGAAACAGATTTGAATCTCTCGATGACACCGACGTTGCGTCACTTACAGTATGTCGATCATCCATAGAACCTGATTCAATCAAATCGTAATCTTCTTCCACTAAAGCTGTCTGTTTTAGAGGAAAATGACTATTTGCACCGAATGACCTCTGACTAGCACTTGGTGACCTTTGAGCGGTAGTGTCGGACGATGTAGTTGACGATCCCAGACCAAGATCACTACTCACCGGCAAACTTTTCATTCTCGTTAGGGCTTTCTTTCTCAATACGGGACTTTGTTGAAGTGGATCGGATGAAGTGCGCTCCCGGAATTCTTGGATACTGTCTCCGCCTTTGTCATCGTGGGATGTTACTGTATCCGTGGTAACAGCAGGCCGTTGACCGCCTGAAACTAAAATATCAGGTTGTTTTCTAAAATTTATTTCCACATATTCACCTTACAATAATCATTTTACTTTATAATAATTCTAAGCAGAAAAACAATTTTTAGTCATATAAGAATATGTACATAATAAAAAAATAGGGTAAATTCAGCCACTGATAACATCAGTTATACTATCTAGTATCTCAAATGTTTTAAATTTCATAGCAATCAACCTTACTAATGTAATTTTGATTAAAATTGTTTGTGAAAAATAAGAGCACCACATGCAGTGTTAATGTTGTCTGTTCAAAATTCTAAGTCAAAAAGGGCCATAACTCCAAAAATATTGCTGTCAGAATAATGCCCCTTGTCTAACAACTGCTACTTGTCATAATAAGTAAGTATTCATACTATTTTAAATGTTTGAATAATAAGCATCATCAAAGATTTAGCATGACGACAATTATGCTCACGCAATAACGATCATGACAACCCTCAAAAAAAGGATTTTATAAATGTATGTTCAATATTATACAAATATGAACTTTTTAGCTGCTAAAAGGTCCATTTCTGTTTTATTTCATAATCTATAAAACGTTTTTATATGGGATATCAAATCTGCCACTGAAAACCAGTGAAATCAACATTTTTCAGCTTTTCTACTTTTTCCATTATTGAGCACATTGGCACGCTACAATCGAAATATTCTTAAAAATGTAAAGCTGGTTACTAAAATAGACTTATTTGACGTTTATTTGCGAGTTGCCCAATGTTTTCTCAAAAAAAATAACAACAAACTTGGCATGACGTAACTTTATAGCACATGCCTTTTGTGGGCTTTCCAGAAAATCTATTTTTAGAGAAAAAACAGTCAATATACTCTGATATTCACTAGTTATTTATTACGAAAAAATTACATCTTAACCAATCGGAGAAAGGCATTTTAAAGCTATTTATAGATCATATAATTAATACAAATATCTCACTGGTTGGCCACAATCAACATTATTTTTTTCAATTTCTCATTTAAAATGACTAAAGATATAATTGTCTTATCATTTCACCTTTAAGTTTCGCTTTGACCTCTTCAAGTTCCACGTACAGTTGTAGAATTTGTGACTCTAGTGCCTGGTTTACACGTGTCGCTGCTATATGCTTGTCCTCGACACTCTTAATGAAAACAAAATATATGAAAAGCTCAAATCTTATTCTTATAAAATTTCTAAAAAACATTAAGTAAAACAACTTTAAATACAATTAAGCAGGTAATTTTGCGCTTTCAGGGATTTTTTTGGGCTTATTTTATAGCCATTATTGGGTCATATTCCCAATTGAAAATAGTATTTTATTTTCCCGATCCACAGGAAAATATTCCCAATTGAAAGTTACAAAATAAAAATATTGAATAAAGAATTCTAAAATCTTTGAAAATAAGGGCTTCTTCACTGTAATAGTGCTTTAAATGTTTAAAGATGTCATCCTAGACGGTGATTCTATGCATTCATTTACCGGAAATCACTGCAAAATTTCAATCATGCATATTTTCCCAAATTTTAACAAAACATCGCTGACATTCCCAATTCCAAGGGTATTGGTCATGTTCCCAAAATCCTGGAAAAAATCCTTGGCTTTTCAAAACATTTTTGTGTAAATATTTCGAAAAACATGACCTTTTATACAAAACGGCTTGTATAATTTTATTCTAAGCCTGCTCAGTGCTGATTGCAACTAATTCTACCCATGTAACCAGTGTAGACCAAGATCTGTGGAATATCTGTACAGAATGTATATGGGCAGCACTGTAGGCTATCCAGGCAGAACACATTTTTTGTATTAATTTTGTAAATTTTCACATAAATAAAATGATGAATGTTTTTTTTATAGATTAAAAGAAAGGCAAGTCCATCGAATATATTTCACATGTTAAGGGTGAAAAATACAGCAATGCCAATATGGTGGTAACTTGATCAAAGTAGAAATTTAAGAATTTTTCTGTTAGCGCTTACCACAATTTTTTGGGGGTAGGAATGAAAAAACAAACAGGAACTTTGTTGGCCTTACAAAGATGCTGTTACTTTGATTACCTAAAAATGGGACCTAGTATTATTGACCTAGAATCTAATAATAAATAACAAGTAACTATTTTGTTCACCTAATTAAGAAACAAGATGGTTATTATAATGACCTAATTAAGAATAGACAGATATAATATTGACCTAATTAAAAAAGTTATTTTGTTGACCTTATTGCTTTAAACATATTTATTCCAAAAGGTAAATATAATGTAAAAATAAACAACAAAAAATTATTTTTTACATAATAGACGAAGGATGAGAATGAAAGACAAAGTCTCTTATGTTGACCTAATTAAGAAACAGACAGATATTATGCTGACCTAATTAAAAAATAGTTCTTTTGTTGACCTAATTAAGAGACAGGTGATTATGATGATAATCTAATAAAAAAAAACAACAGTTACTTTATTGACAAAATTAAGAATTAAGGACATTTTGTTGACCTTATTTATGAGTAAGATTGATAATATGTAGACCTGATTAAGAAACAAAAGTTATTATGTTGACCTAATTATGATTTACATTGATATTATGTTGACCTGGTTAAGAAACAGACAGTTATTTCGTTCACTTATTTAAGAAATAGAAATTTATTAAGTTGACCTAATCAAGAAATTGACTATCATTATGTTGACCTAATTAAGAAATTGACAGTTATTATGTTGACCTAATTAAGAAATAGATATTTATTTAGTTGACCTCATTATACCTTTAACTCATCATCATGACTTGTCTTGATTTTCTCCACTATTGTCTTTAACTCGGACAATGCTGTCTCCTTATTAGCGAGTATTTCTTGCAGTTCATTCAGCTGATGCTGGCAAGATTCCAGAAGCAATGTCTTCTCATTTAGTTTATTCTTATTCTCTGTTAATAGAAAATTATTTCAATAGACAACTATCTAAAGCTTCCATCGCATCAGCACTATGACAGCCGTAGAACGAATTTTGACGATAATCGTTTGTTTTTGGTTTTAAGTCACATCGACACAATATAGGTCATATCGCGATGTTCCTGCTTTAATGGTGGAGGAAGACCTCAGGTGCCCTTCTATGCATTATAACAGGCACTAAAGGGTACCTGAGTAGAACCACAGAAGTTCCGTAAGCTAGCTGGATAGCTTCCTCACATGAAAGAATCCTAAGTCCCTGTCGGGATTCAAACCCACAGAGGTGAGGGGCAAGTGGACAAAAATCATTTTGTTTCGTGTGTGAGCTACTAGACAGTTGTACAAATTCTTTAAAGTCATACGATTGCTGCAACTACTTACACTTATTTCTCAACATGCACATTATGTTTTGCGTTTTTTTTGGACAGATTTTGGACGTCTCAAGACTGTCCTAAGACAGTCTTACGGCAGTTTAAATTTGAGCTTAGAGACAATGTAACCTCTGAACCTAGTGTCAAAACTGTAGAAAACATTGTTGTAACACTAGTTTGGCTCGAAAAACAATGAGTCATTGACTGACCGACTCCTTAACTGCCATTGCACCATGAAACCTCTTTAATGCTCAGCCGTACTACTTTATGACCATATATAAAAAAACTTTATTTACAACTCAATGATACAAATCTTATGATACTTTTCGTATTTATCTATGAGCTACATAGAGCTAAAATGAGCTTTAAAACAAAGTAAAAAGATATGAACTAAATAATAACCATTCAATTCTTTTTGTAACGTCGCCTTTGCATGCTCAAACTCGAGTTTCGATGCTCTCGATGATTTCTGACCCAGTAGTTTATCATTACATTTCTGCTGTAATTCCCCCATCAGCAGCACTTCCTTCTGTTGTTGAAGAACCTGTCAATGTACAAAAATTTATGTTAAAGCTGCACACATGTCCTAGCCTCTGAAATTTACAATAAACACACAAAGTTCAAAACAGCTCAAACGTTAGGTTTTGTAGTATTCTGATTCTGAAATCCCTTAAACATAAGATGGATAGTTATAAAGCAGGAAAAATTCATAACAAAACCTTAGCAATGAAAAAGAAATGAGCAGTGCCATGACAAAACCAACAATTGGGTTTGCGACCAGCATGGATCCAGACCAGCCTGCGAATCCACACAGTCTAATCAGGATCCATGCTGTTCACTGTCAGTTTCACTACTTGTTATAGAGTTGGTAAGCAAACAGCATGGATCCTGATAAGACTGCGCAAATGCTTAAGCTGGTCTAGATCCATGCAGGTCCCAAACGCATTATGTTCGTTTTGTCATGGCCCAGCTCAAATCATGTCAAACTTATGATAACAGACATACCTGACATTATTGTTTTCTGTGGATATGAAAATAAAAAAAACCTACCTGCTCTTTTAATTTAGTATTATGGTTTGCCACATCTCTCATTTTTTCCAATTCTTTTTCTGTATTAAACAATTTTGCTTCAGTAGCCATAATCCTCTGAAAAGAGAAAGAAATCAATGTAAAATATGAAACAAAAAAGATAATTGTGAAGCTTGCTAAATATTAAAAGTCAAAAACGACAAGATTACAAACCTGATGCTCTACTAATTTAGCTAAATGGGCATACTAACAGACAGGGGACAAAAATTCAGGCTAAAACAAGATTGCATTTGAGAAAAATGCTATGCCACCGCATTAATACAACACTAAATAGTAGTGTAGGAACAGATATTTTTTGTTTCTATACAATTGAAGATTGTCATAATGCATAGATCCCTGACCTATCTAGTTCTTATCATCAGATTAGTGGTTGAATCTATTGTTAATCCAATAAAAGATCAGAGTAGAAATATATCAATGCACTTGAGTCTGGTGAATTTGGTGGTGAAGGTCATATTTTCACACAGCCTAAATTTCATGACTATATCAATGGACAACACAGTAAGACACTTTGTTAAAATCTAGGTCAGCTGATATCAAAGTTCACTTTACATCTTAATCTGTGCACATGGTTCAAATTTCATAGCTGTACATCAAAGGACAAGAAAGTAGGTCACATCATCAAAATCTAGATCACCTGATATCAAAGTTCAATTTTACAACTTAAACTGTGCACATGGTCAAAATTTCATTGCTGTACATCAAAGGATAAGAAAGTAGGTCACTTTCCCCTTGGGCAAGGCAAAATTTTGACCCAAGGGTTTAATTCAAAACAATCTTGATACAGGTCCACCAAACAACATTTCAAGTCAAATATCTAAGCTGTAGCTTTCTCCCATTCAGAAAACATTTGTTTTATTTTCTGTTCTTACTATGTGTACATAATGAGAATCACTGCCCCCGGGCAGGGCCAATTTTGACACCAAGGGAAAAATTTGAACAACTTTGGTATAGGACCTATAGATGATATTATATAGCAAAGATCAAAGCTCTATGCCTTGTTTCTTCAGACAAAAATATTTTTTTTATTTTTTTTTTACTATATGTACATAATGAAAATCAATGACCCCCGGGGTGGAACCAATTTTGACCCAAGGGCTATAATTTGAACAATCTTGGTAGAGGTTCACTTCGCAAAGTCTAATGCAATATATTTAACCTCTAGCCTTTGTCAATTCAGAGAAGAAGTTTTTCAAGTTTTGACTTTATACATATAAGGAAAACTATCGCCTCTGGGGCAGGGCAATTTTAACACTAGGGGCATAATTAAAACAACTTTAGTAGAGGACCCATGATATTACATACAAAATATAAAATCTCTAAGCCTTGTACCTTCAGACAAGAAGTTTTTTTTTTTTTACTATATGTACATAGTGAAAATCAATGACCCCTGGGGGTGGGGCCAATTTTGACCCCAGGGCTATAATTTGTACAATCTTGCTAGAGGTTCACTACACAATGTTTCATGCAAAATATCTAACCTCTAGCATTTGTCAATCGCTTAGAATTTTTTTTAAAGTTTTTACTATAAGTTTTTACTATACAGTAAATTCTCTCTATTAAGACCACTAGCGGGACTGACTCAAAGTGGTCTTAATAGTGAACTGGTCTTAATAGTGAATAAGTCACTTAAACAGTTGACGAAATCCAACTTAACTTAAAGTATACCTCAAATAGTTTTATGCTCATGGTACATTTACTTAATTAAATGAGTAAAAAGAAACACAACTTTTTCAAACAAAAACATTTTTAATGCATGGTAATATGAAACATCATTAATATAATGAAAATATTATTTATAGTTTCCGCTTTAGAGGAAAAATATGAGGTATTAAATACAGTTATGACTTTCATGATGATTTATACATTAATTACATATCGACATAAAGCACACATGAACTGATAATTTGGTGTAATTAGCATTTTTTTTACCGTACTTGCTATAAATTGTGATGCACAACAAGCAATTTTAAATGCTATTTAACTGTTTATGACATCCTAATTACGCCGACAAATTAATCGTTTCTCACACCATAGTAGCTTAGATTAATTGGCCAGAAGTGGTTTAAACTGATCATGTTACGCTTGAATGCTAAAGATACATCGTAAAACAAGCGTCTAATCAAATATTAATGACCTCATTTGACCCGGTGTATTTGTTTACGCCAGAGGGAAGATTACGACAATTAATGGGGGCAATAAACACCAAGTGATGTCTGGCCATTATGTTGCATGGTCGTTATACAGGTTAATGTTTTGATACGAAATACACACAAATGTCTGACAGAAGTGGTCGTTATGCCGGATTAGAGACGTGGTCGGTATACTGGTCATTTTTCTCAATGAATAAAGAAGGCAAATATTTTGTACTTTTAAAAAGTGCCCGTAATACCGGCGTGGTCCTATTTGTGGCGTGGTCGTTAGGTGGCATTTTACTGTATACATATAAGGAAAACCAATGACCCCCTGGGCGGGGCCGATTTTGACCCCAGGGCTATCATTTGAACAATCTGGGTAGAACTCTACCAGACAATGCCTTATGCAAAATATCTAAGGTCTAGGCCTTTTGGGTCTTTACAAGAATGTATTTTAAGTTTTTACTATATGTACATATAGTGAAAATCAATGACCCCCCGGGGCGGGGCCAATTTTGACCCCAGGGCTATCATTTGAACAATCTTGGTAAGGGTCTACCAGACAATGCCTTATGCAAAATATCAAAGCTCTAGGCCTTTTGGGTCTTTACAAGAAGGTATTTTAAGTTTTTACTATATGTACATATAGTGAAAATCAATGACCCCCGGGGCGGGGCCAATTTTGACCCCAGGGCTATAATTTGAACAATCTTGGTAGAGGTCTACCAGACAATGCTTTATGCAAAATATCTAAGCTCTAGGCCTTTGGGTCTTTACAAGAAGATTTTTTAAATTTATTCTTATATTTCCTTTTGGTTGCCATGGCAACCAGATTTCTGCATGGAATGAAATTCTTTGAACAACTTTGGATGCCCTTCACCCAAGGATGAATCCTGCCAAGTTTGGTTGAAATTGGACCAGAGGTTTTTCACAAGAAGATTTTTGAAGTTCACTATATAATCTATATAACACACACACACACAAACAAACAAACAAACAAACACACACACACACACACACACACACACACACACACAGGTGAATCGCTATATGCCACCGCATCGCAGATGCTGCGGTGGCATAAAAATCCCCCAAAACACGTACCTTTTTCAAAATATCCTGTTCTTCTCTCTGTCGTACAAGAAGCATATTTAACTCTTTCTTCGCATTATTCAAATCTTCATTCTCTTGCAAGCAGGCTCTGAAATAACAATTGATATATCACAGTATTTATGTCAGTATGCTATTTTTAGAATATTGCATTCTGGGTAAGTAACCCATGGCTACACCACATTAGAAAAGTCTGACTCTCAATCTGTCATCCTTTTACAATAAAACAACAACAAAAAACATACATCAGCTTAACTCATACATATAGATTAATATATAACACTCAATCATATTATTAAAAGCTGCATGCCTCCATATGCCTCCATATGAGACAAAATATTTCGAGAAAATCAACCTTGAAAACGTATTAAGAATTTAGGAAAGTAAAAAATATTCCCAATTTAAGAAAGAAATAATTTATATGTTACATGCAATTAATGACTGATTTTGCAGTATCTATCATCATGTTTTTGTACTATGTGAGTAACACAGTCAGGGCTATTTTTGCATATTGTAACCTATTTTTTGTAATTATCATAAATTTCAAGTGTCGTTTGCAATGTATAAATAACATTTATTTATTTATCTATAAATCTATAAATTTTCATGACCAGACTTTACACTGCTGCTTGTTCAATTTCATTCACCGAAATCGCTGAAACTCATAATGGTCAGTTCCAAATTAAAAACGTTTGTATAGTTGATTTTGACACTAATTTTGACACATTTTAGGTCACATCAAGGTGGTCAGTCCACCTTACCGGCTTTCCCTTGTGCCTAACCAGTTTACCAATTTCTGCTACTAATCCGACATGATTTCTGAATCAGCGATGAGAGACAAATGACTATAATATCTCAATGTCCAAGATTGATTGCCATAGAAAACTTGAGCCCCATCTTAGGAACCAACCACAGAACTAGTTCATTACATAAATTCAAAAGAATAAGGTTTAGGTATGTTTACCGTAGCTGAACAAGTTTAGTGTGTTCCTCATCGTCTTTAATCTTTTTTAGTTTATGATTCTCCTCCTGTAGTAATTTTATTGACACCTGCAAATCTCGTATCATCACGTCATTCTGTTTCAACTGCTCACTCTGTTATATGTAATGTAAAATAATCATTTCTACTGCTCACTCTGTTATATGTAATGTAAAATAATCATTTTAACTGCTCACTCTATTATATGTAATGTAAAATAATCATTTTAACTGCTCACTCTATTATATGTAATGTAAAATAATCATTTCAACAGCTCACTCTGTCACAGGTAATGTAAAATAATCATTTTAACTGCTCACTCTGTCACATGTAATGTAAAATAACCATTTCAACTGCTCACTCTGTTATATGCAATGTAAAATAATCTAATCATTTCAAAAGCTCACTCTGCTATATGTAATGTAAAATAATCATTTCAACTGCTCACACTCTGTCATATGTTATAATGTAATGTAAAGGGTCATTTCAACTGCTCACTCTGTAATATGCAATGTACAATAACCATTTCAATTGCTCACTCTGTTATATGTAATGTAAAATAATCATTTCAAAGCCTCACTCTGTGATATGTAAAATGTAAAATAATCATTTCAACTGCTCACTCTTTTATATGTAATGTAAAATAATCATTTCAACGGCTCACTCTGTTATAATTATGTAATGTAAAATAATCATTTCAACGGCTCACTCTATTATATGTAATGTAAAATAATCATTGAAACGGCTCACTCTGTTATATGTAATGTAAAATTACCATTTCAACTGCTCACTGTCACATATAATGTAAAATAATCATTTTAACTGCTCACTCTTTTATATGTAATGTAAAATAATCATTTGAACTGCTCACTCTGTTATATGTAATGTAAAATTACCATTTCAACTGCTCACTGTCACATATAATGTAAAATAATCATTTTAACTGTTCACTCTGTTATATGTCATGTAAAATAATCATTTCAATTGTTCACTCTGTCATATGTAATGTAAAATAATCATTTCAATTGCTCACTCTGTCTATGTTATAATGAATGTAAAATAATCATTTCAACTGCTCACTTTGTCATATGTAATGTAAAATAATCATTTCTACGACTCACTTATTATATGAAATGTAAAATAATCATTTCAACGGCTCACTCTGTCATATGTAATGTAAAATAATCCTTTCAACTGCTCACTTTGTCATATGTAATGTAAAATAATCATTTCAACGGCTCACTCTGTTATATGTAATGTAAAATAATCATTTTAACTGCTAACTTTGTTATATGTAATGTAAAATAAGCAAATCATTTCAAATGCTCACTCTGTCACATGTAATGTAAAATAAGCAAATCATTTCAAATGCTCACTCTGTCATATGTAATGTAAAACAAGAAGGCCATGATGGCCCTGAAATCACTCACCTGTATATAGGCCCCTGGGCCAATGCCAATTTCAAACCAGGGACTTTTATTTGAACAAACTTGGTAGACAGCCATTAGAAGATGTTTCATGATAAATATCTAAGCTCTAACTCTGGGAGGGGCCAATTTTGACCCCAGGGCTTTTATTTCAACAAACTTGGTAGACACTTACTAGAAAATATTTCATGCTTAGTACCTAAACTCTAGCTCTTTTGGTTTTTTTAAAAGAAGATATTTTAAGTTTTTACTCAATACAAAATAATGAAAATCAATGACCCCGGGGGCGGGCCAATTTTGACCCCAGGGCATTTATTTGAACAAACTTGGTGATGTTTCAACAGTTTGAACAATTTTTGACTACAACAAAAGTTGACTACCAATGGAACATTCCTGTGAAGTTTGGATGAAATTGGCTAAGTGGTTTATGAGGAGATGTCGTTTAAAGTAAAAGTTTACGGACGGACGGACGCCGGACGGACGCGAGACGAAAAGGGATCACAAATCATAATATATTATTATGATTATTATGTTATTGATTATAATCAATATCAACTGCTCACTCTGTCATATGCAATGTAAAATGATCTTTACAACTTCTCACTCTGTAACATATTATGCAATGTAAAATTCAGATTTTCACAAAAAGAACAAAAAGGCTGTGAACAGTAATAAAAAAAATTGCTCAAATCAGTGACAATACTGTAAACGTTTCCCTTCTTGTAAATCATAGAACTGACTGAATCAGGTAAAGTACCTAACAGATGCCTTCGTTGAACTCGTGTTGCCTCAAGGTTTTCACTCTGCCTTGATTTTTTTTGTGTGTGAAAATAATACCTACCATTGAATTGTTTTGTTCTTCCAAAGTCTTTGAGTGTGCAATCTTTCTGAGAAGTCGCCTGTTTCTTTTAGCATGTTGATCCCTCTTGTGACGCTCGTACATTAGCTGATTGTGTAGAAGCATCAACTGCCCTCTTAGTATACTAACCTCGTCAGCTGGGGGCGTTCCTGTGCGAATAAAACATATCATGTGGTACCTGTACATGATACAAGCAGCCAGTAGGATAACTCAATCAACAATGCTCTGTGCCAATCTCCTACGCAGTGATCTTCCCTTATCAGAACAGAGATCTATGGCACCACAAACAAAATTTGTTAAAAATATTTTTTAGCTTTTGAATCTACTTTTCATACTTTTTTTGATAAACTATAAAAAACATACAGAAAATTGAAAATAAAACAGAAAGAGAAAAAGACGTCAGATCTTCTATGCAACGGTCAATATTTACATTTGAATTTCAATGTTACGTCATGTGACTTTCATCATCATATGACGTCTGTGAAATCTGCCAAGGGAGGTAATCACTGTGAGGAATTTGACTCTGTGCTTGTACTAAAAATAAGAATCTTGATAATGCAAGAATTTTCAGTCAATTGAACAGAATATGTTTTTTTTCCTCAAAAATCAATGATAGGGTTGTGTGTATTGGTCAATATAATGAAAATATGACCCTAAAGACATAAGTGAAGATTTGTTTGTTTTGTTTGTTTTGTGTTTTATGTCACATCTACACAGTATAGGTCATATCGCGACGTTCCATCTTTACTGGTGGAGGAAGACCTCAGGTGTCCTTCCGTGCATTATTTAAGGCATGAACAGGCACCTGAGAAGAACCACCGACGTTCCGTTAGCTAGTTGGATAGCTTCCTCACATGAAAGAATCCAAAGTCCCTGTCGGGATTCGAACCCACAGCGGTGAGGGGCAAGTGGTTTGAAGTCAACGACCTTAACCACTCGGCCATGGACACCCCAAAAGAAGATTTGAGGGTTGTTAAAGAGGAGAATTAAATATGCATGCAAAACTTCAAAGAAGCTCCATATTACATAGATCAACTGGTGCACTTAAAAACAGAAACATATAAAAAGATAAAGAAATATACTCAAACAAGAGGGCCATGATGGCCCTGAGGTCGCTCACCCGGAGCGGGGCCAGATTAAACCCCAGGGCTTTTATTTGAACAAACTTGGAAGACACACATTAGAAAATGTTTCATGAAGTTTTTACTACACACATATAATGAAAAACAATGACCCCCCCCCCCTTTGGCAGGGCCAATTTTAACCCAAGGGCTTTTACTTGAACAACCTTGGTAGACACCCACAAAAAGATGTTTCCTGCTTAACAATCTAACCTCTAGCTCATTGGGTTTTTTAGACATTTACTAGAAGATGTTTCATGCTTAATATCTAAACTCTAGCTATTTGGGTTTTTTCAAAGAAGATTTTTAAGTTTTTGCCATACACATATAAGGAAAATCAATGACCCCCGGGGCGGGGCCAATTTTGACCCTAGGGCTTTTATTTGAACAAACTTTGTAGACACTCACTAGCAGATGTTTCATGCTTAATATCTAATCTCTAGTTATTTGGGTTTTTTCAAAGAAGATTTTTTAAGTTTTTGCTATACACATAATATTATAAGGAAAATCAATGACCCCCGGGGCGGGGTCAATTTTGACCCCAGGCCTTTTATTTGAACAAACTTGGTAGACACTTATTAGAACATGTTTAATGCTAAATATCTTAGCTCTAGCTCTATGTGTCCTTTAAAAGAAGATATTTTAAGTTTTTACTATATGCATATAGGGAAAATCAATGACCCCCTGGGGCGGGGCCAATTTTGACCCAAGGGCTTTTATTTGAACAAACTTGGTAGACACTTATTAGAAAATGTTTCATGCTAAATATCTAAGCTCTAGCTCTATGGGTTCTTTAAAAGAAGATTTTTTAAGTTTTTACCATATGCATATAGGGAAAATCAATGACCCCCTGGGGCGGGGCCAATTTTGACCCCAGGGCTTTTATTTGAACAAACTTGGTAGACATTCACTAGAAGATGTTTCATGCCAAATATCTCAGCTCTAGCTCTTTGGGTTTTTTAAAAGAAGATATTTAAAGTTTTTTCTTTCGGTTGCCATGGCAACCAGAGTTCAGCATGGAATTAAATTCTTTGAACAATTTTTCCAAAGGAACATTCCTGTGAAGTTCGGATGAAATTGGCTTAGTGGTTTATGAGGAGATGTCATTTAAAGAAAAAGTTTACGAACAGACGGACGACGGACGTACGAAAAGTGATCACAAAAGCTCACCCTGTCACTCTGTGACAGGTGAGCTAAAATTAAATTGAAAATCAAAATAAAGTGTGATTTTTAGCCTGATTTGAGATTGAAACACACTTATTCTTAGGTAATATAGCACAATAAATGTTATTAATACAGTCAAATAATGTGAATAAATTATCTGAAATTTTGTACACAAATTTTTGGACAAGACCTACATCAAATGGTTTAAAATCTTTAAATTTTTTTTTCCATTTCTGTTAAATTACTCAAATGAGTCCCGTTAAGCAATAATTCTTTATGTTCATAAAGGTTTCTAGATTGTGAATCCAGAAAAAAATGTATGAAGTTTTAAGAGAATACCTTCAATAGTTTATAGGCAACAAAGTTTCCACAAAACTTTAACTATAGTCTGTCCCATTAAAAATGGAAATGAACTTTTGTCTGGTGTGAATTAACAAAACGAGGTTGAATAAAAATTTAACTATTTTTGTGAACTAAAAAAAAGTCACCCTCGAGATTTTTCAGGATTTTACTCTAAAGTGTCTACTTTTCTTGTGAAAGCAAATTTTGATTTCTCTATGGTAAATCTCTGTTGTTTATTTTCCGTAGCCATTGCCGAAGTACTCTTCATTTGAAGATGAACGGGAGAAAGCACGTGTCATGTTTCTAAATATACATGAGGTTCTCGGGGTCGTTTCATGATTATTTTACAAAGCTGGATCTACAAGATGTAACAGTTTAGTTGCAATGCATGATGGAAAACTTTAAAAAAATGAAAATAAGCAACAAGAACACCGAGTGACCGAGTCACATGGAGTACAGTAGATTTAGAAATTGCACTTACTTTTAAGCTGAATAGAATCCCTATGAATTTCGAAATAGATCTTTATAAATGTCACGACAAATTCGCATTCTGAAGATTCCTTTTCATTGCAAGTTTCTATCCAGTTCCGTATACTTCAAAACTCCTGAATGACATGACTCCTACATTTATGATGATCCAGATTTTTTAAAACTGTTAATCCGTCTCATTATTAAAACAGTGTTCAATTTGTGGAGTTATTTGGGTTAGCAAATGAAATATGTAAATGAAACACATCATAAATCAGCATGTTCCAAATCCATAATTCAAGAACGGCCCATCAATTTTAGTTGTCAACATCACAATGCAAATGGATTCCTGGCGAAAAAAAACATATATTACGTCAACAACTATTTACGAAATATATGACGTAACAAAAATGCCTCGCGCTTTTTATGGATGATTCCAGTTGCGGCATTGACAGAGGGCGGTTAGGCATATGTAACCTCAAACAGATAATTTTAAGTGTTGAGATAAATTTGTCTTGATGACATTTATAATAATGTTTGTATACCCAGATTTGACTGTTAAAATTACATCTTCAATTCATATATTAATGATAAAACTTCTGATAACATTTAAATAATTTTAAACACAATTAATGACATGAATCTACAAAAGTACAATACTTCTTCCATTAATTACATATAACATTAGTTTTGATTTTATGTTTTTAAATTATTTTATATATTTCTCAGAAATGATTTCCCTACATATTATCTCCTTATTCAAGACTTCTGTAAATCCAACTCTTTTAGCTACAAAACATACAATACGTGGTATTTTTTCTCCCGCGAAAAATATGCTAGATCTATTGTTTTTTTTTTTCACTGAATATTTTCAAATTTTAGGAAGGCTAAAATTATTGAGAACGTCGTTCGGTGTTTCTCTTTGACTCGATCTTCCCTTCATATTAACATAATAATTATATGTAACTTTTTGAGCCTACAAAAAACAACACTTATTGTCGCTTATTGAACACTCCAATTCAAACTTATTCTTGATAATACCAAATCACTGTCGGCATTTCTGGACATTTTGTTGAATTGTGAGACGGAAAGTTAAATCTGTATTTACAAGCTTAAAGTGTATAGGCCTACGTTTGATTGCTCAAACTAGAAAGCATGATATTATATTCTTATAATTTACATTTTCCTCGAACGGGAATCTATTTTCTCATTAGCAAGGGAGTTAGTTAAAGTAGACACTGTGGTAGTCAGATTTGCATGATAATGTAGTAGATCTATTTCTTGGCGATTTCTTGTGAAAGTTGAAACCTACGGAAAGTTTTAGCGCACGAACATCGCACCCGAAATAAATAGAAATAGATAGAAAGGTAACATATTTTTGTATCCCATCGAACCTGGTCAATTTTATTACTTTTGAATAGACGTGATACATACTAATGGACAGATTTCAGACAACTACAGAATTATGTAAATTAAACATTAATTAGCTAAGAACCATTTTTTATAGTTTTCTAGCTATATAGCTAGTGTTCCCACTCCCCTACAACGCGTTGCGGTATTCAAATCTAATCTAATCTATCTAATCAAATCACTTCATTGTTATTTAAAAAAAATAATAATAAAATACGACAGTATATCATGGTAATTAATTAAATCTTTGTGTGTTAGAGTTTATAAAGCGGTTACTGATATTTTCACTTCAAATGATTTTGATTATTTCAAATAATGGTTTGCAAGTAAAATTCCTTTTTTGACACCAACTTTGTTCTCATTTTTCATTTTAATGATAACATTAAATTTTAGCTATTGATCCATAAGTAAATAAGAAAAATCATTTTTTTTATAATTACCGAGTACATTTCACGCTAATTGTGAGACGAACCCTAAATGACGTCTATATGGGCGCTGCCATTTTGAAAATTTTTAATGGACGTCACGTCAGGTTACAACGTAAGTCAACGGGAAAAACTATAATTTTAACATTTTTACCATATTACTGACTTTATGAAGAAAATGAAAAACATGCCTAGAGATATTGACGTTAGGGTTAACATGACATTAATTTAAATGATTTTACTATTATATTAAATAAAAAATGGAATGTTCAAATTTGATGGGACAGACTATAGGAATTCTCTCAATTGAAAATAATTTCTGTTTAATAATGCTTATGCAACTTTACACAATACATAATACAACAACTAAATCCTGGACAAACTTATCTAACTTGTTTGTTTTTTCTTTTATTACAAAAGAGGGGTGAAAATTCTTTGAGGGGGCAAAATATTATTAACATGCTTGAAGAAATTTGTACACGTTGCATATTTTCATATCAAAAACACATGAACAAATGTTTTTGATCATGTTTTCAGATCTAAATGGATATACTTGTCGCTTATAGCAACAATACCCGTTCTGTGAGAAAACCCCCTACAGCTTTCATTTTAACAAAGGAACAGTAAAATCAAGCCTAAAATAATTAGCGGACCTTCCTATGACAATCAAAATCAATGGTGCTTCCTACAACAAAACAACCTGCAACGATTTTTCTGCCATTCCTCTTAAAAACGGTACATCCTGTTGACAAGAACACATATAGTATCAGCATGTAGTAACAATAAGCACTACCATCCTGCATTACATTAGCACATGCACAACTGTTTAAAAAAAAATCATAAACAACATATTTTCTTACCTCCAAAGTGTGTCCAGTTCACCTCCTGTGTCGATGGAATTGGAAGCTTACTAAGTTCTTTAGCATGAATATCTTTTCCCAGGCTAATATGGCGGTCTAATAACTCCGGTGGTGAGAATGTGCTAAAAAACGGCTTCGATGGACCTGCAGAAAAAGAAATAATTTAAAACTGGTCACCTTACTACATGGAAATAATTAACAAATTTTTGATTAACCCATAATCTACTGGAACTGAAGGTTTATTAGCCTTTGCCACCAGGTTCTATATTGATTATAGCTCAATTTTTGTATCAAAATCCCTTAAAGGCCCATTATGCCCCAGAAATGCTATCATTTTTATTTCTCAAAAAACTTTCAATTTTTGGTATCTATTACAGTTTCCAAAATAAATGTATAAGTCATTAGCCACATAGATGAACCCTCTTTTTTTGCTTCTTTTGCTTTTGGTAATAGGTATAGTTATATATATAACTGATATTATGTAAGGCAGTCAAAATGCTATGTTGTTTACATTTTGCTAACTTTAGGACACATGACTACATGTCCATCGCTACTTCCATCAATTGTTGAACATCTTACATGCTCTAAATCCATTATTTAAACATTATTAAACACATGTTTGATATTTCTTAAGAATCTAAAAAAAATAAAGATCTCTGAGGAGTGATGTGCCTTTAATTTTTAAATCGACTGTTCAAAATTCCAAGCTGGAAAAAAAGTTAATGATTATTATGACATAATGACAGAAGCTGAAAATTTCAGGTTTTAATTACATGTATATTTACTTAAATAGAATCTTAGGTTTCTAAAAGTAAACTTCAGTCAAGTGGTTGAGTGGAAGTTGTTGGGTTTTTTATGGATTGTATGGCACTTCTTCAAGTTTTACTGGTAGAAGTCAACCTAAAAAGCCTCTTTGTTAACCATTTTAGTCACTGGTAAGAACCTACACATTGACTACTTTTTTATAATTTTCAACAATCTTTTTTAATTTAAATAGAAATAGTGTTTGTATGGTAACCATAAAAAAATATAACATTCAATTTGTTCAGATGATATTCAGTGATTTGCCATCAACAAGAGGTCTATAAGGGACAAGTATCGCTCACAAGACCTTTTTTAAAGATTTGGAAAGTTTTGTTTTTTTGTTGTTGGGTTTAAAGTCACACCATCACAGTCAAGGTATATGGCAATTTTTCAGCTTGAGCTCAGGTTCCCTTCTGTGCATTATTTCAGGCAAGAATGGGCACCTGTGTAGAACCACCAACATTTCATAAGCTAGCGAGATAGCTTCCTCACATGACAGAATCCATAGTCCCTTTGGAGATTCAGATCCACAGCAGTGAGGGGCAAGTGCTTTGAAGTCAACAACCTTAACCGCTTGGCCACGGACAACCCAACATACAATATTACACTACATCAAATCCCCTGAGGGCCTTGAAATTGAAAATTAAAAAGTAATTTCACTTTCTTGATATCTAGTCATTTACGATTCACATTTTTATTTGACCGACAGATTTAACCCAGATTATATTGATTGATTCTATAAGCTGTTCACTCAAAGATCGTTTCTGTAAAATAATATCAAAATTAAACAAACAGGTGAACATTTTAAAAGGTTTCCCAAGGCAACCAGAGTTCAGCAAGAAATGGAATATTTTTGACAGAAGTAATCCAAGGAGTATACAATAAATCTTAAAGCAGCATGCCTCCAGATTCATGCTATTTTTAATGAAAATTTGAAAATATATTTAACAGTCAAATATTGTGAACTTACCAAAAGAATGCAATTTACACATTATCAATGGCACATACAACTCACGTAAATTGCCATTAAGAGGTCAAAATGTGCAAATATAGCCCTACTGCGTTAGTAATGCAGTAGAAATATAGTAAACAATAGTGAAAAACCCGTCATTAATCGCACATTACATGTTAATTATTACTAGAATTTTGAATCTTTATACTTTTCCTAAAATCTAAGTACATTTTTCTAAGGTTTGATTTTATCGAAATATTTTTGATCATCTGGAGGCGTGCAGCTTTAAATGACTTTGACACAAGATAACCCAAGGAGTATTTAATGAAGCTCAAACAACATAAAACCATATGTTTAGTAGGGGAGACATTGTTCACAAAGAGAAGACTAGACGGACATCTGTACAGACAGCTGGATGATGAGAGATCACAATAGCTCTCTTTAAGAACTTGTGCTTAGGTGAGCTAAAAAGACAAATTTATGTTTTATTCCCAGAAGAGCTGGTTGAAATCGTAGCAGATTTTTCTTTTTATTTTCTAGATTAAACAGGGAAATTTCAAAAGTTTTAAATTTTAAATGTGAAAAGACATTTATTCAAACAGTTGAAAAATATTGCTATGTGAGATTTTCCCATATAAATGCTTTATTTTTCAAGAATTAAACTGCCTAAATTAAACAATGACCTGATTAATTTATTACTAATCAAGACAACATTGTTTACCGATATCATCAGAGGAAAATGATAAAATAAAATTTGCATTGTATTTATATTTACCAATTTTTGATCCGTCCATCTGACCTTGACATTTCGCACAAGTAGTTGCAGACGGCATGTTCAGTATCTGTTTCAGGATTCGTAACAAGTCGTCTGTTTCTCTATTAGTCTCAACACCATCTGATTTCCCAGAGTAAACGGGACATTTCGGAACCGGTATAACTGCAGGAGACGGCACAGAGGCAACAGCCACTGGTTCCTGTTTTTTGTTGACAGTAACCGTACTTCCTGTGCTAGATATTGAAATGTCACAAATGTTGTCGGTTGGCTGCACTGGTGCCACCGGTATAGGCTCCTTCACAGCTTCTGACTGAATCTCCTCGAAGTTGGATTTAAATTCCATCTCCTCATGAGACGTATTCTGACATGTCACTGAAACTGACCTTGAAATTAACTCTTCATCTTCTTCCATTGTTGTTTCTATTTTTGGAAATTGCGGACATGACCTTGACCTTTTGCAGCTGAAACCTTTCACCGGCTCAGGTTCAATGCTGTTGGTAGCAGTGAGGCTATTAAAACGGATTCTGTTTACGTTTTTCATGAATTTCTTCACAGACTCTGATGTCAGCATTGCCGAATGACCTAGACCATGTGACCTAGAACTAGAGGTCAACTCTGACACTTCGTCATCACTGTCCTCTGAAATTCCAATTAAACTTGTTGAATTCAATGCACATGTATCTATTTTTAGAATTTTTTTGTTTTACACTTATAAATAAATTAAGAAAAGATTTATACATTTCAATAACAAAAAGCATTGTAAAGTACAAAGTATTTCTTGTTTGTTGTCTGTTTTTAACACTGATTACAAGACATTTCTGGGAATATCCTGGTGGCAAATCCATCTGAACGACTTTGCAAATATAACTAACAGCAATAACAAATTTCTCAACAAATGACTGATTATTGATCCCACATATTTCGAATTCAACCATGAGAAACAAATTAATAACAATGCCTGAGAACAACTGTCTTAGAGAAAATTCGGATTACCTGGATAACAAAGCGGATGCTTTCCGCTGTTAAAATATGTGCACTCAATGTATTGAGGAAGGTTTGGATTATAATTTTTGTTAGTTTAATTGGTTGTCAACTTCACAGTGAAGTTGGTTGGTCCACTATCTTCAAATTATCATCCTGATATCCCTAAATTTGATAATGGACAGTTCCAAAACTGGAACCTGGACAAGTCTATTAAAGAAATTCAGGTGGATAAGGTTTAACTTACCATCATGACTAGGTTGACTTTCTAATTCTTCTATCACCTGTGAGATTGTATCTACTGACACTATATCTGCCTTCGTTACTGAACTTACTGATGGAGTTCTCACTTTCTCAATTACCTCCCCTGTATCTTGACTACTCTCTAAAATAGAAATCAATAAAATTATAAAATCACTCTGGAAACAGTTAATATATAACTACATGTATCTATATCAATCTCAAACATTTTGATGGCTTATTATAAACCCCACTTTTTCTAGGAGTTGGCTGTTTATTATATAAATCACATATTTATCTTCTTTTCATCATGCAAAATTGAAAGCAACAATACTTGGCACCTAAGAGTACAAAATTGAGCCGCGTCACGACAAAACCAACATAATGTGTTTGCGACCAACATGGATCCAGACCAGCCTGTGCGTCTACACAGTCTGATCAGGATCCACGCTGTTCGCTATTAGTTTCTCATTTTGTAATAGAGTTTGTAAGCGAACAGCATGGATCCTGATCCTGATCAGACTGCAACTACGCGCAGGCTGGTTTGGATCCATGCTGGTCCCAAATGCATTATGTTAGTTTTGTCATGACGTGGCTCAATTATTAAAGTCATGTCCTATGGACTCTTAACCATTAGCCTGCTGGTGGCTGCAACTTCTTCCAGTGGGATCAGGATGGGCCACATATCCCTATCATCTGATCATGGTTGGCACGGTTCACAATTCTGTCAGTACATATTTGAACTTTTCACTGAGAATGCTGAATGGTTGTGTCCAGATAGAAAGATGTACAAGTCCTATTAGGATATTAAGTGTGGTACGAGTTAAACAGTATTTTTGTTAAGAGTAACAATAGCCTGCTGAATTTGAAGTCTAGATCTACCTGAATTTCCAATAATAAATTTACAATACCTCTCAGACTGTCTTCAAACATTGTTGCAGACCCACTTCTTCTAGGCGTGTTCTGACCACTTGCACTCATTTGACCTTCAGAAATTTTCCTAGGTGGTCTTATTTCAAAGGGCTCTGGCTTGACAACATTTTTTGAAAACTCATGTGATTGGTTTAATCTGGTCACATGACCCATTGTTTTTTCGTCTGATTGGTCGTGATCAAACTGCAGTTCCCTGGCTGCATTAATTACTGGGAGCGTCTTCACTCCAAGAGGAGGCGTGTTTGTAAATTCCGCCTTCAGTGGGGAAGGTGGCACGCTCTGTATGTTACTTGAAGGGGTCAACAAGGGGACAGACTGATTGACAGGAAACTCTGAGCTAAGTCGCTTGGGGTCAACCAGCTTGACGTGAGGTGCTCCTCTGCTACTTGTTCTACTGGCATGCTGAAATGGTATCACATTTAATTGGATTATTAATTACCCTTTTGCTCTATGCTTTTCATTTTCTATAATTTCTATCATCAACCATAAACAAATATTCTAAATATGCTTGGTATCTATGATAATTCTACATTAAATTTACAAAAGATTCTTATTTTGAATTTAAAATGAAGAAGCCCCATAAGGATAAACAATTTCTATGGATGAAAATCTCGGGTTTGCCTCTTTATCTTGTTTTTAGGCCAAAAATAAATCTCAGGTGCACAATTTTGAATTAAAAATTATAAGACAAAACAATAGAAATATTTTTACTGAAAAAATGCCAGACACCATATTTGCTAAGTGCTTAGCAACTGAAAGACTAACTGCTGTCAAACTATAAAGATACTTGAGCCCATGCTGACTTGCCTACACATTCAGTATGCTATTTTGTTTTTTTCTGTGTGTTTTTTTTACACCAATTTTAACATTATCTGGTCACATTTTTTGTGGTCCATCCACCTTACCAGCCTTCCTGGAGGACTCAGCAGTAATACAACTGACCAACTACATGTACTAATCCCACATAACTGAACCAGCTGTGAGAGACAAATGAACATTACACTCAATGTCAAAGATCATTTGTCACAGAGAAATTTTACCTCAACCAACTACTGGATTACTTTGGTTGAGTTAAACTGGCAGAAAATTAATACAACCATTGACAGTTTCTATATAAACTGCGTAAATAACCGAGGTATATCAAGTGAAAAAACATGAGTTGTTTCCCTTATCCTCGAGTAAAATCGATATCTCTAATGCAAATTATACTTCTAAACAAATTTTTCCACATTTTAAACCGCTAGTTAATTGTGATTAATAGTCCAATTTTATTATTCATTACACCAATAGCTTCATCTCAGTATATAAATCAACATCATTTGGACACCAAAAATTTATAAATTAATTGCAAAACCTACCACATGTCAGGCCATTTTTCATATGATTTGTACACAGATATACGCAGCCGGTAATCTTTACTCGTAAAAAATTACTGATAAGAAAAGCCTGTTGTCTGCATAGTTTGGAAACTGTCAATTGGTTTATTTTGAGCATATCATTATTGAATTTCCCTACATTAAAAATGGTCTGTTCTAAATTCAAAACATGGAGAGCTCATTTTCCAATTTCAGTGGTGTAAAAGGGAAGATATATTTACCCGATCATGTTCTTCACTGATGGGTGGAGTCTCTCTAGGCGTGTTCATGGGGGTTCCTGCATTCAAAATCACTGCTGGGCTTACTGTTTATTAAATAAATATTAATCATTACATCTGTTGCATAAAAACAAAAATTAAATTATGGCAATTAATGTCAAACACAATCAACATTATTACCTCTTTAGATAGTAACTTTCACTATATAAGCTGTGTCACAACAAAACCAACATAATGGGTTTGCGACCAGCATGGCACCAGACCAGCCTGCGCATCCGCGCAGTCTGATCAGGATCCATGCTGTTCGCTATCAATTTCTCTACTTGTAATAGAGTTGGTAAGCAAACAGCATGGATCCTGATCAGACTGCGCAGATGCGCAGGCTGGTCTGGATTCATGCTGGTCGCAAACCCATTATGTTGGTTTTGTCATGGCACGGCTCATATATGTATATATATAATAACGTCATTACATTGAAGACCTCTTTAACAGGTAGATATTTTTCTTCAATTATCATAATAGTTTTTGCATAATAACAAATTGGAAAAGGCTTCATTTCGTTCTTTTTTCATGCTATTTCTATTTGTATTGTTTCAAACTTTACATTCTGTACATGTATATAAGTTGTTTTGTTGTTTTTCTCCAATATATATTGGACCTATTTTCTTTGAGTGGAATGAAAATAAATATTATAATTTTCATATCACAAGATGAAAATAACTCCTGTATTGAAAAAAATTGTATATACTGTTTCATATACAATGCACTTTTTCTCTTTTTTGACATTATGATTTAAAAGATTAAAAGGCACCAGTGAAATTATGGAAAATATGTTTTACTGCAGTGAAAAATAAATTTTTACAGCAAAAAATATAAAAAAATGAAAATATGCATTTAATTTCATCAATGTTTCTTAATATTTTATTTATAAGTATACAGTATAATTGTAAATATTAATTTTGAAAAAGTCTCCATCTTTCGTTCTTTTTCTTTGAGAAAGTAACTATAAAAATATTTATTTTTAAGTATTAAACTAAAAGTGAGATATATTGCTACACACACATTTTAGTAAACCAAACCCAGTATTTTTATTTCTTCAAAGAAATGGATTTGAACACTTACATTATAGATATGGACAAAACAAAGAAACTCACACACACTATCACACATGTATATAAGCATTTGCATGAAATCTGGCTTAAAGTGAAATTTTCACTATCACCATGGTAACATAGTTTCTATAGAAACTAATACCACTAAGTTTTTAATAAGACTGTTTAATGATATACCATGGGACGTGGTGGTACCCCCTAGCGAGGTTTCTAGACTGCTCAATGCCGGGGTAGCTGGAGGGGTTGACAGTCCGATCACCTCTGATGGGCTCCAGAATGTGTCTTGACCAGCCTGGTTTGTTTCTTGCTGTCCAGTTGTTACCATGGAAACTGATGGTACTGCAAAAGGCAAAATTAAGTTTAAGTATGTTATGAATAGTTAAATAGTTGTTTTGTAATTATAAAATTAGTTATTTTCTCTCAGTTGGTATTTTCACAAATATTTACTAAGCAAGCAAAATTACAAAATGTTTTCTTTTCCGTTTAAACAAGATAGATCAAAATACCAACAAAACTAGTTTCAAACAAACACAGATCTGAATGTATCCATGTTATTTAGATTAAGTAGATTTACTACTTATAAGTTAAGCATTGAAAAGAAGTTGAAAATTGCAATTTTTTACTAAGTAAAAAGCAATAACTCTACAAATACTGAATAAAGCCACAAACAACCCCCAGGTGCATAACTATCCATGCTAATCAACATTCCAGTAAAGTATTATGACTCCAAGTCACTCCAGTACTAGAACCGACACATGTGAAAAATTGCAAATTTATACTAGGTCAAGGGCAATAGCAAAACTGAATTACATGTAATCCACAGGCAAAACCCCCTGTGCACAACTTCACATGCTGATCAATATTCCTGTAATGTTTGTCGATCCTAGCTCAAGAGGTACACTTGACACAACATTTTGGAATGGTTTTTATTTAGTCAAGGGCAATTACTTTACAAATTCTGAATAGATATAAATTCAATACCCAAGGTATTAAACTACACATGCTGATCAACATTTCTGTAAAGTTTCATGACTCTAGGCCAAATATTTTTTAGGCTAGTTGTGTGACACAAGGTGAAAATTGCAAAATTTTTAATAAGTCAGGGGCAATTACTCTACAAATACTGAATAAATCCATAAGCAAACTCCCAAATGCACAACTATATACATGCTTACCAACATTTTTGTAAAGTTTCATAAAATTTCCTTTTTGGGCTACGCACGGCACAAGTTGAGAATAGTAAATTTTACTATTCAAGGGCAATAACTCTGAAAAAAATTAACAATTAAAACTGAATTAATCCACAGTGCACAACTATCCATGCTGATCAACATTCCTGAAAAGTTTACGGACTCTAGCTCAAGCACTTTAAGAGCTACACATGACCACAATAGAAGAACACATGCACCCTTAGAATTTGTAACATTTAAGGAGTGGTACAAATCATATTAAGAAATTAAGGGATGGTGCAAATTATACATTTTATTTAAGGGGCCATACAACACATACATTTAAGGGGTTGTAAAATGAGTCCTTGTCTCTCCTGATTGGTTGCAGGCCTGTCACTCAAATATCTTGAAGCTATGATTGGACACTGTAGCTCCTCCCATGTTCCTTCAACTGGATCTAGAGACATCTTGTTACATTCTACAACTACATCACTTGTCTCCATCTGCCGCCATCTTTAAATGTATAACGGTACAGGTACATGATAAGATTCACTGTATCAATAAGAATATCTATAACATAAATTGACATCACTTAAATCAAGTAAATTCATGTATATAGTTACTTATATGAATAGGGAAAGTTAAGCCTCAAAGAGAGATATTTTATATGACAGGCGTTAGTGAAACATTACACAATAAGAGCCAACACCCAGCCGGGTTCCACCTAACCGGGTTCAATATTGACTTTTCATATTTCTAAAGGGAACACATCAGAGGAAGAATATTATTGTACAGTACTCCTATAAAACATAATTTTTTGGTTACAAATAAAATTCAAACTTCATATTTGACCTTGATGGTTATGGTTATATTCAAAGGTCAAAGTCACATTTATTTTACTTTACATTTTATTTTACATTTAAAATTTATCATGATGCTGGTTTTGTCATATGTGATTTTTTGTCTAAGAATAATTCAAATCCATAAATAAATAACAAAGTTATGACAAGTTAAGCAGAACAGTCAAGGTCAACTAAAGGTCATAGTCATTTAAGAATAATTCAACTTGTCAGTTTATTTTCATGTGTTCTTTTGCAGGTTTTTTTTCCAGGATTTTGGGAACATGACCCATACCCATGGAATTGGAATTTCAGCAATGTTTTATTAAAAATTGGGAAAAAAATGCATGACTTACATTTTGCAAAGATTAAATGAATGCAAAGAGTCACTGTCTAGGATGGCATCTTCAAACATTTAAGCACCATAACAGTGAAGAAGCCCTTATTTTCAAAGATTTTAGAATTTGTTATTCAATATTTTTATTTTGTAACTTTCAATTGGGAATTTTTTCCTGTGGATTGGGAAAATGATATACTATTTTCAATTGGGAATATGACCGAATATCGGCTATAAAATAAGCCAAAAAAAAATCCCTGTTTTGTCAAAGTATAAATAATGTTTTCAATCAGTTTTGTAACAATTGCTTACAGAAGTTACCTTATTATTAAGATTTTTCTACCAATACATTCAAAACAACATCACCAATGGAAAACAATGATTAAAAACGAACCTATCTATGACCTGGTTTCAAACAGTTTGGGAATGGTATTTAATTAACTATATTCTTGTTATAAAAGAATATCAATAATGGTCAAAACAATATCACAGATGGAAAACAATATCTTATACAATGTATTAGATTGAGCATTGACAGTCTGACAAGGATTGGTTATATGGATTTCTGTTTTATAACAAGATTTCTCCACAACAATCAAAACAACATTTTGGATGAACCAGGAATGTGTCCATAGGACACATACGTACATACTTTCCACTGTTTGCTAGGTCTACAGACGGACAGACAGCTTGACTGTGAGACAGACAGATAACAGCAAATCTAAGTACCCTTCCCCACCACCCGAAGTAGGGGGGAAAAAATGACCTGAGAAATGACATAATTTTAGACAGTATGGCAAGACTGTTTATAAATTATGATCATTTTGGTTTTTAAGAACTTTCAACATAATGATTAAAACAAAACCTTGGATGAAAAACAATACCTTTATATAATGACTGTACTATCTGATAATGCCTCCTATCCAAATTTTTTTAAAGCAACGGCTTAACTGTCTCATTCTTTTTAAACACTTTACCCCAAACCTTCTGTATGGATCTGCTTTAAATTTGGTACATTCTATTCAAAGTTTAAGGGATTTCAATAATAAAAATACAACAATTGAGCTACCTACAGAATAGAGCCTGGCTACACATTGGTACTCTAGGTGCGTAAATCATAAAAACTTTTGTAGAGGTCTATTAGCAATGCTAAATGCCAAATATACATGTAAAAGCTCTGGACATAAATATTAAGATGTGTTGTCCTTTACATAAGTCTAATTGAAAGCAAGTGACACCAAGGACAGGACCAATTTTTACCACTTGGGTCATGATAACTTCAATTAAAGTTGAGAAAACCAGACAGGTAGTTGAGAAGACTGAAGGGTTTTGTGTGGTTTTCTAAATGGTGTCCCCCCTAGGATCCTACATATTGAGCAATGACTATGCCTTACAATAAAGCTGCAAAAAGAGATGTAATAAACAAATCAGACAATCAGTGGTACGTTAACTGCTCAGGTAGCTTTTTAGACAGAACCAATTGACAAGTACACATGGTTATTTCCACCTTCACTGCCCGTTATTGTCAGAGTAATTATCTATATATTTGACTTCATAGTCCCCTATGAACTGTAAGATTTTCGGTTTTTACAGATTCCGGTATTGTCAATGTTTAATTTAACAAAGGGAAAATTTGGGACTAAATTGTCCGGTATTTAGAGAGTTCCGATTTTCCCAGCATCCAGTTTTATCAACTTTCACTGTATAATGTTTGTAGAAGGCTACAAGCAATATGCCAAACATCTAAGCTCTAGGCTTTGTTGTTACAGGAGTAGAAACAAGATTGCATTTGTGGAAAAAAATGCTATAGTATTAAACCAACATTACTGAGGTATGAAAAACAGACTTGTCAGAAATTTTCTAAATTTGAAGTATTGTGACTATTGTCCATGAACGAAACTGAGGCAACCACTAAATCAACTTAGTCTATGATTTCAATTTCTACAATCATACTATGTACATTTAATGACTAATTTTCAATCTCTTTTGTAATAAACAGTTTATATAACTTTAGCAATGACATTCAAAACAACATTATTCAAGTTCATGAAAATTGATTCCAACAATTAGTCACTGCTTGCTTACAGTTTAAATTTCCTGTTTACTTAAATTTACTTATTAAGAATTGTCATGACTTCCTGTTATTTGTTTCAGAGGAGGTAAAAGCAAAAATTCATAAAGGGGCTATTTTTGTAAAACTTTTTTTAAAGCCATGAGTGCAGTGATTTAATTTTTTCAATTTTAAAAACAATCTATGGCTTTCTGAAGGGGAAAATAAAGCACAATAAATCAGAAAAGGGGGAAATCTGAAGTCGAATTCCAATAACTAAGAATGTAATTTACCCACACATTTATAAAATTTTCAATTTGAGTTCAATTTAGCATGCATGGTACAAAGCAGAGCTTATCTATCAGGACTTCTAGCTGATATAAGTGAGCTTCTCTCAAGTCATGGTTCTGGTGAAGAACTGCACAGGGCGTTTCAGGGGAAAATATATCTATTTTGGACTAGGGGAAACAGCCTTTATTCAGCTGTAAAATAGAGGGGAAAATAATCACTGTAGTGAAATATGAAGTTTGATCTAACTTGTACAACAGAACAAGAGTTACTGGTCTTATACTTAGGCCTAATTATATAATTACACTCCTGAGGAAAGTGTGAAGTTTTAAGTTTATACAGTAGAACCCCACTAACGAGGCCACTTGTGGCTATGCAGGAAAAATTGTTTTCCAAGGGCGGTCTTAATTTCAGATTTCTCTAGAAGTAATGTTTGTTGTCAATGGAAAGCATGGTACATTATTGAAAATATGATAAAATTGTATGGAATTTATTTTTATTTAAATGTGGTATCATTTGGAGCATTCAGGAAACAAAGTCATTATTGAACATTTATCTCTATCTCCAGAAGTTTTGATAAAATATGAGGTTACAACCAAGTATCACCAAATACAAATTGAAGTTATTGAACATTTACCTAAATCTCCAGAAGTTGATAAAATATGAGGTTACAACCAAGTATTACCAAATACAAATTGAAGTTATTGAGCATTTACCTAAATCTCCAGTAGTTGATAAAATATGAGGTTACAACTAAGTATTACCAAACACCAGATGATAAGGACTACCCTATCATTCTTTAAACCTATAGGAGCTAAAAAAACCAAGTTATTAGCACCAGTATAGGACCAGGCCAACCTGCACAACAATGCTGTCTGACCAGGCTCAATACAGTTAGTTGCTTAATCCCTTAACCTTTAAGTAGACCCAGAGCAAAATCAGAAACAAATGTTACCTTTGTGTGGAGGTCTCCTGTTCCCTGTTTCCAGTTATCAACGACGGATGTAACCTTACTCTTTCCAACATACTCTGTAACAAATAATATATAGGGTTTATACTAACTTGCAATGCCAAAATTCAAGCCCCTTTTTTATAGCGGTATACATCAAGATTCATGCTGATTCTCATGAAAATTTTGAAAATGCATTCAAAAGTAAACTTAATGTTAAAGTGAGCAAATAATTAATTTAAACATTTCAAATAGCACTTTCAGTCCACAATTACAAAGTAAATGTTAAAATATGTAAACATGACCCTACTGCCTTAGCCAACCAGTAGAAATATGGTAATGAATACCATGTTAATAAATACTGCAAAATCTGTCATTCATTGCCTGTAACACGCAAATCATTATTCGAATTGAAAATACTTTTGTCTTAAAATCTTGACTTTCTAGAAATATTTTGGCTAATCATTTTTTAAGGACTTTTCATTGCACTTGTTACCAATGATAAAAATAACTAAAAACAATAATAGTGATATAACATTGAAGACTTTATTTTGACTGCTATATCACTTTCAGTAAGATGTTTTTTTGAAGTCCTGCCATCTTTCAAAAGTCCTATGAAGCCTAATAATGCTGAATTTAATGCTGAATTTTTGCAATGAATCTGTTTTCCCATGAATTTGGTCCTATTCTTTATTGTTAAAAAGCATAAACAAAAGTGAACATACCTTAATCACCTCCTCAAAGACAGGAATGTTTTCCTTTTTCGTATAATACTGTCTGAGATATGCCAGAAATGTGTATGGGAACATACCATAGAGACGATGGAACAGGGCATACACTGATATCTGCAGGTGCAGGTAAAATATGTCCGGTGTGTTCCCAGCTGAAATATTTAGGGGTATGAATGTATATTTCATACAGTGTAACTTCTGAATTACGGCACTTCTAAAATCCAGAAACTTCTGAAATCCGGAAACTTCTGAAATTCGGAAACTTCTGAAATCCTAACATTTCCAGGGTCCCAAAATTTCTCCATCTGCTTTCTATGTCATTAATATCTCTGAATTCTGGAACTACTAAATTCTGAACAATTTTCCATTAAAATGTGGGTTATATAAATTCAAATTTTCTTCCAAAGTCTGGAAATTGAAACAAGCGAGAAGGAATATTGTACTTTTGATTGAAAAACCTTCAAAATGTCAGTACCTTTCAAAAAGCAGAAACTATTTGTGCCGCATCATGACAAAACCAACATAGTGCGTTTGTGACTAGCATGGATCCAGACCAGCCTGCGCATCTGTGCAGTCTGATCAGGATCCATGCTGTTCGCTATCAGTTTCTCTACCTGTAATAGGGTTTGTTAGGGCACTACCTGTAATAGGGTTTGTTGCAGCATGGATCCTGGACAGAGCATGGCATACCTGTATTGATGCATAGAGAAGTGCTTTACATTTCGAATTTATGATCAATATGTTCAAAGCTTCAAGATATATTAGTGGTCTTTCACACAATGAAGCACTTTGAATATTTCAAAGGCTGGTAGATAAGACCACTATTGTAGAAGAAGGCAGCAGACGTTACATGTTACGCGGATAGTTTAAACTTTTGTTCAGCTGATATACGTTGTTTGAATAAATGAAAGCACAATGATGGAACATGATCAAAATAAGGTCCAACAGATAAGCTGAAAACTTGTCTGCTAGGAATGTAAGTTCACAATGCGGAATAACTCGTAATTAAAAATCTATGCAGATTGATTCTTGGAAAGTAACAGATTAAAGATTCAGTGATTAATTTATATCTTATATTGACTGTTGAAAATTTTTTGCATATTTATACATAATTTCTACTCGTTATAACAGTAGGCTTTTTGCAATTTTACTCATTGGTATTAAGTTATATGACGTTCAAGTGTTCGAATTATTTTACTAATTGATCAGTTTCATTGAAAATATTTTACATTTAATAAGTTTTTATTGCAAATAGATTGAATCCATGTTTATAATAATTCGATAAATATTTCAAACATAATGCATATATTGGATCAGAAACGGTATTGCAAATAATATGTAATTTTATTTTAGAATCTTTTCACGAATATATACATTTGTCAGATGACAATTAGAATAAATGAAAACCTTTAACTTCATAAGGCATTTCTATCATATATCATATAGTAACATTTAAAGATAGAAATTGTCACAAGAAACTGAATTCAGGACATATCTGAAAACTTGCACCCATGTATATAGAGAATGCCACATTTATGTCCGATATTATAAAAGGTATCAGGCAAGGTTTACAATAATTAGTCCTCATTGCGTATAGCTCACTCCACTTTTCTCAGTGCTGGATAGTAAAGACAACAACATAGAAAAGGGGCATAATTCTGAAAACATGCTTAGCAGACTGACCTGCCCTTGATAGTCAACAAATATTTCAAGTTTAAAGTGAATTTGACGGTTTTTGAGAAAAATGCAAATGGTGTATTCTAATCAATAAAAGAAATAATCAAGCAAAAATTTCTCATGTTTCAGAGGTCCCTGCTGAGCTAAGCCATTTCGGTCAAATACATGTTCAGATCTAGATACTCTTTCAATAACAATTTTGTGTACTATATTACAAATTTATTATTTAACTGACCTTGAGACACTTAAGGATGACCTTCAGTACTGACATTTTTACAATCTTGTTGATCCACAATGGTTGCTTACATACAATGTGGAGGAGAAGTTGTAGAGCATTTAGTTGGTGTTCTTGAGATTTTATTCCATCATGCAGCTTCTCCAACAGATTCTGAAAAAAAAAATCTCATACAATTAAAGAGTTTTTGTAGACCTTGTAATAATTGAACTTTTGGATATTAATGACTATTTCATTATTAATTTTCATGATCAAAAGTGTTATGAATTTTTGTCAGAGTATTCGAAATAATAAATAAATTTATGAAAAAGAACCCTTGCTTGCCTTATCTGAAGCATATATACATGCATCTTTTTGCTGCCATTATTAACACAAGTACAGAGTGACATTAACTGTAAACATTCCATGTAAAGTGCCTGAATATATTGCAACATTGTTTAAGAACAAAATGATAGCATGTTAGAATAGTTTCTGGATAATTATGACTCTTACAAATAATAGCACATGATGCACATGACATGACGTCACGTCCGGTTGCAGTAAACAAGTTTAACGGCGGAGCGTCAAAATTAACAATAATTAAATCTTTTGATTATTTAACGTCAGAGATTTTCAATAAAAAGACGGATTTGATAAGAAGAAAAAAATCTGGACACGATGATGTAATTTTCATTAAATTGTGTCATTGATATCGGAAGAAAAACAATTATTAAAAAAAGTGTTGTCAGAATTCTCAAAATGAACGATAAAAAAGATTCAGAAATTCATTCCCAGGAGCAGCGGGATTATGAAATGAACTGTCGGAAAGCGCTTAAGAAAAAATTGAATACTACAGAACGGGAAGAAATGATCATTACAGTTACAGGAGGTGGAATTAAGTTGGAAATGAACACTGGTATGTACGAGTTATTTAAGTATGCTTCAGAAATATTCTTTTCTGATCCAGAAATGATTGATCGAACCAAGAAAACTACAGCTTTTGATAAGAAGCAAAACATTGTTGAAACTAAATATAATATGTCATCAGAAGATAAGTCCCGTTCCTACACATTAAATTTATATCACACACGATCATCTTGTCTAATAAACGGGAAGAACACATAGCAGTTCATTTATTTGGACCTCACAGCCATTTTAAAATTTGTTGAAAACAAGCTGTCGGATGAAGGATATAATTTAAATGAATTTAATCAGAAAATAAAGGCGGTGATACTGAACCATATGTCTACAAAAGAAGCGGAATCTTGCATAGATGAAACAGCGGTTAAAACACTATGTGAAATAGAAGATGCAGATTGCGATTTGGAATTCCAGTGTGAATCTTTAGAGTCGAGTAACATTCGAGTTGATACGGATACTACAGACTCTTTAATGATTAGTATGCTCCATAACATCCAACATCAAATATTGGAAATAAATGAAACACTCTCTCGTCATATTAAGGAGACAAACTTTCAGACGTCCTCAATTAAAGACGAAATAGTAAGTATTAAACGGCATGTATCGTTAGTTAACTCCCAAACACAGGACTCTTTTGACTCGCTTTTGCTAAACTCAAAAAACGTTGAGAAAGATGTCAAAATACTCGCCGAATCTATGCAAAGGAAACTTCAGTCATTTTTTGATTGCTTAAAAACGGTACCAAGAAAGGATATAAATCCGAAATCAAGTGATAAATATACTGTAGAGAGGGATAACATTGTTACAACGGACGACACTCAGATAAAGAGACCAATTTCAGAAAAATCAACAAGTCCAAAACGTACAAAAACGCTAATTATCGGTGATTCTATCATGAAAGCAATTAACAAACGAGGTTTACATGATACCGTAGATACATATTATATAAGGGGAGGCACCGCCCATGACATAGCGTTACGATTGAAAAACTTGGATATGAGGGAATTACTCAACATTGTTATCTACGTCGGAGGAAATGACGTCGCATCAGAAATTCCACTAACCTCGACTTTGGCAGAATTAAAAACTGCCTTGACGTCACTTGAAAAACACAAGGACTGTTCAATTATATATGTACTGTATGCCCAAGATCAGATGCAAATGTTACTCAACTGAATGAAGAACTGTCACAGCTTTGTTTAGACAATAATGCTACACTGATTGATGTATACAGCGGATTTGTCTATGGTGACGGCAGTGTAGCGAAACACCAATTTGTAAGGGATGGTATCCATTTAAGCCCGAGGGGTGCGTCTGCGTTAGTCCTGGCAATAAATAAAAGGCTACGTATAATCAAACAACAATCCTCCCCAAATTCCGATATGCGCGCAACTGTAACAGATAGAACCAGAAGCATGAACAAAAACTTGACAAGAAGGTGGCAACATTCTTCGGAGCGGAGCAATGGGTACAACTTTTCCAGTGAAATGCGATATGGCGGAACCGGAAGTAGGAAATGCTTTGATCAGTGTTTTATCTGCGGAAGAATAAATCACAAGTCTAAAGACTGTTGGTATCTGAACTAGGATAATGCGGACAGACACTCTAAAAGCTATTATAGCAAAGACAAATTACAAACGTTTAATAAATTTAACAATGAATACATAAACAATGTAAGTGAACGTAATAAGACTACTTTGTTAGAAAAAGAATCCAAAAATGAGATTTCATCAAATAACAGTAACATGTGTATTCTAACAGATTACTGGATCGAGGTATGTGAGAGTAAAACAAATAGTTTTACAAATGTAGATAATTTGAATTTGATTTTCTCTTATATATATTACATTAACATATCTGGTATATCTCAAATAAGAAATAACTATATAGTAATATTTCAGTCACACACAAGAACTTTTCAATTAATTCCGTTAAATAAAAAAGTCGGTTTCGATATGTTCCTACAAAATGGTTGCAGGAAAACTTGTTTTATGATAGGAGGCATGTACACTCCTTCTTTTACTATTGTTTATAATGTATGTTACGATTTTATGTTGTACTCCACAATTGATATTTTACACATATGTTTAAGTACGCGAAAAATTATCGATTTGATAGTAAAAGAACGGAAATTTATAGACACTAATGAATCTGATAATCAAATTGTTTCTTTTGAACAATCAGTGCCATACAATAAATACGGAAATGATGAATATAATTGCAAAGTACTAAATAATGTTACGCTCCATAAATCAAATTTTCCAGATAATAAATTGTTCAATTCTAAGTTTGAACAAGAGCTGTCCGTAAGACAGCGCGCTCGACTTTTTTATTGCTTGCCAATAAAAAAAGTTTTTGCAGTAAAAGGCAATACAAGAATCTCTGTATTTTTAAAGTGAACTAGTTGTTTGATACCCTTGAATATTACAGCAATGTTTATATGACATAATTTATGGTAAAGTGAACAAGTGGATAGGAATGAATTTTTTTAGATTTTTTAAGTTTTTTAGTGCTTGCCTATAATACAAAACATTGACAGTTAAGGGCCATAATTCAAATAAAATCTTTGACAGAATTACCTTCTCCTGGACATGTTTGGGAATCATGATTGTAAACAAGTATTCCAACTTTCAAATTAATATCTCAAACAGTTCAGTCAAAAAGTGGACTGGTACTAAAAACTTAACCAAGATTCTAAGTCGATAAAAGGCCTTAATTTTTAAAACAAATCCTTGACAGAGTTACCTTCTCTTGCGTACAGATGGGGGTAATGATGTGAAATAGCATTAAAAGTTTCAAAGCAATATCTCAAAGGGTTAAGGCAATAAGTGGATTTTACCCATATTCAATGTATTTTCTAAGTCAAAAAGGGGCATAATTCTGTCAAAAACCTTGACAGAGTTATGTCCTCTTGTCTGTTGATGAAGGTCGTGATGGTAAACAAGTATGGTCAGTTTCAAAGCAATACCTCCAATGGTTTTGAAATAAAGTGAGGTGGTACAAAAAACTTAACCAAGCTCAATACACTTTCTAAGTCAAAAAAGGGCCATAATTCTGTCAAAAACCTTGACAGAGTTATGTACTCTTGTCTGTAGATGGAGGTTATGATGGTGAACAAGTATGGTAAGTTTCAAAGCCATACTTGTAATACTTCTGAAATAAAGTGGGGTGGTACGAAAAACTTAACCAAGGTGTGACGCCAACGCTAACGCCGACGCCGGGGCGAGTAGGATAGCTCCCCTTTTCATAGAAAAGTCGAGCTAAAAACGAGGTTTACATATTGCACACCTTAACGTTAATCATTTAATGCCGAAAATAGACGAAATAAAATACAATCTATTAAACAAATTAAATTTGCCAGATATTTTCGGCTTTACTGAGACATTTCTTGGTGAAGATACAACAGATGATGAATTAAATATAAACAAGTTCACACACGAAAGAAAGGACCGTAAAAGTTGTCATAAAGGCGGGGGAATTGTAATATATATTGCTGACAAGGTGCCATATCGGCGCCGTTACGATATAGAAACGGACGAATTAGAATCTGTTTGGTTGGAAATTATTTACCCAAATTGCAAACCTTTTCTTTTAAATTTTATATATCGCCCACCAAATGTTCACCAATCTTGGATTGACGATTATGAAAAACAACTAAGTATAATAGATATATCAAATATAGAATATCATATTCTAGGAGATGTCAATATAAACTTTTATCCAATGAATAAAAAGAAAAAGTATGACAATACAAAATGGGGTGATTTGATAACGAAATATGGTTTGAAACAACTTATCACAGATCCTACTAGGATAACAAAACATACCCAAAAAATTATAGATCATGTTTATACAAACAGTAGCAGATATATTATTGAATCGTTTGTTTCTGATACCTCATTAAGTGATCATTATCCGATATGTATTTCAAGATCAACGAAAGGATGTACCCGATTGATAAATGAACATAATTCGATTAAATATAGATGTTTTAAAAACTTCAATGAAATTGATTTTCAGGTAGACCTTGCTTTATCAGATCTTGAATTAGTCGAGCACATAATTAATCCGAATGAATCTCTTAGCTTATTTTACTCCATTTTAAATACAATATTGAAAAAGCATGCACCAATAAAAGAAAAACGTATCAAACGTGAACACCGGCCGGAATGGTTTACTGATGAGATAAAATATCTAATACATGAACGCGATTACTATCTTAAAGTAGGAAACATGAACAATACAAAATGCTCAGAAATAAAATATCATCAATGATTAAAAAAAGTAAAAGAGATTTCTTTAACAATGCTATTAAAAATAACAAAGACCCGGCATTTTTATGGAAAAATTTAAAGGACGTTTCAAATCTAAATAAAAAAGGTTGTATTACAATGCCAGACAGACTAGTGACAGGTAATAAAGAAATTTACGGAAATGTAAATATTATAAATGAATTAAACAAGTATATTGTCAATATCTCGAATGTCATACATAAAACAAAGTTTTCAAATACAAATTTTTCAAACTTGAAAGAAACTTTAGACCAAACGCTAATATATCATGAATTTAATATTGAATTAATTACACCGTTTGAAGTAAAACTTATTATTGAAAAACTGAATATTAAAAAATCTACAGGATTAGATGGAATTGGACCAAACATCATTAAATATTGTGGAGATTATATTACACCTATAATTGCATCAATTATCAATAATAGTATTAAATATAATATTTTCCCAGATGATTTAAAAAGAGCTAGAGTTATACCTATTTTTAAATCGGGGGATAAGAATGAAGCAAATAATTATCGACCGATATCAATTTTGTCAACTATATCCAAAATATTTGAGCGCCATATTGCCAAACAAATACACTCATTCTTTGAAAAAACGAACTTAATTCATAATAAACAATCAGGATTTCGTAAAAATCATTCATGTAATACTGCACTCATTAGTTTAATAGATACTTGGTTAAAAGATGTTGACAGTGGAAAAATTATCGGGACTGTATTCTTAGACTTAAAGAAAGCCTTTGATTTGGTTGACCATGAAATACTTTTGCATAAACTTAAACTTTATCATTTTTCTGAAAATGCCGTTAAGTTTTTTAAGTCATATCTTTCTAACAGAATACAACTGGTTAAGATAGGTAATCTTCAATCTCAGACAATGAAAATAATTTCCGGTGTTCCACAAGGCTCAATATTAGGACCTTTATTATTTCTAATATACATAAATGACATAGCTTTCATTGGTAATGATATAAAAATTGATTTATACGCAGACGATTCTACTCTTTATGAGTCCGGAGAAAATATATCAAAAGTAGAAATAAAACTTCAAGATCATTTAAATAACATTGACAAATGGTGCAAAATAAATAATATGGCCTTAAATCCAGATAAATCAAAATGTATGGTAATAGGAACAAGACAAAAAGTAAATATTATGAGAAAATTGTATCTTAAGATAAATGAAATAGCTCTTGAAAATGTAACTGATCACAATGTCTTGGGTATCTGCATAGATAACAACTTAAAATGGCACTTGCAAATTGACAATGTTTGTAAAAAACTTAACGGAAAAATTGCCTTATTGAAAAAGATATCGTATTTTTTGCACTTTGATATGAAATTATTGTTTTACAATGCATATATATTGCCCATTATGGACTATTGTTGTATTATATGGGGTAAAGGAAACACAAACTACATAAATAATGTTTGTAAATTACAAAAACGAATTGCTAAAATCATTTTACAGCAACCACAAAGATCTCCGTCAATAAATCTATTCGAAACTCTTAACTGGTTACTGTTCCTTGACAGATGTAAATACCACACGGCGGTGCTTGTTTTTAAAACTTTAAATAACATGGCACCGACTTATATGACAGAACTGATGACTTTATCCGACAACAAAATATATAACTTAAGGTCTAGGTCACGAAAAGATATTGTATTATGGACAAGACCTAAAACAAACTATATTAAAGACACATTTTCTTATTATGGCATGAACATTTGGAACAATATACCTTTAAATATTCGTAATGTTAATAACCTTAAATGTTTTAAAGAAAAATACAAAGCATATCTTGATGTTCATATGAATGAATGAGTGAGTGAATGAATAAATGAATGAATTAATTAATAAATGAACGAACGAACGAACGAATGATGCAATATACGTATATGTTAAAACAAATTGTTGAGTGTCTGTCGAAAGTATATGAGTTGTAATATTCTAAATATTACATATTATACATTCAATTTTCTACCTATGCATGTCCTGTTGTTGTTGTTGTTGTTTTCTATTTCAGAAGGCCACATTGGAAATAAGATATATATGATTGTTATTGTATGTTCTTAATGTGTAACCTTCTTTAAATAAAGATATTATTATTATTATTATTATAATGGATTAATGAAATGATGGGTTACTGATACGATGGGTTACTGAAATGCTGGATTACTGAAATGCTGGATTACTGAAATGCTGGGTTACTAAAATGTTTAAGGTTACTGAAATGCTGGGTTACTGAAATGCTAGGTAACTGAATTGCTGGGTTACTGAAATGCTGGGTTACTGAAATGCTGGGTTACTGAAATGATGGGTACTGAAATGCTAGGTAACTGAAATGATGGGTTACTGAAATGCTAGGTTACTGAAATGATGGGTTACTGAAATACTAGGTAACTGAATTGCTGGGTTACTGAAATACTGGGTTACTGAAATGATGGGTTACTGAAATGATGGGTTACTGAAATGCTAGGTTACTGAAATGGTGGGTTACTGAAATTCTAGGTTACTGAAATGCTTGGTTACTGAAATTCTAGGTAACTGAATTGCTGGGTTAAGGAAATGCTTGGTTACTGAAATGATGGGTTACTGAAATGATGGGTTACTGAATTGCTAGGTTACTGAAATGCTATGCTACTGAAATGCTTGGTTACTCAAGTGCTTGGTTACTGAAATGCTAGGTAAATGAATTGCTGGATTTCTGAAATGCTAGGTTACTGAAATGCTAGATTACTGAAATGCTAGGTTACTGAAATGCTGGATTTCTGAAATGCTAAGGTTACTGAAATGCTAGGTTACTGAAATGTTAGGTTACTGAAATGCTGGGTTACTGAAATGCTGGGTTACTGAAATGCTAGGTTACTGAAATGCTGGGTTACTGAAATGCTAGGTAACTTAATTGCTGGTTACTGAAATGTTAGGTTACTGAAATGTTTAAGGTTACTGAAATGCTGGGTTACTGAAATGCTAGGTAACTGAAATGCTGGGTTACTGAAATGCTTGGTTACTGAAATGCTGGGTTACTGAAATGATGGGTTACTCAGAAATGCTGGGTTATTGAAATGCTAGGTTGCTGAAATGCTTGATTACTCAAATGCTGGGTTACTGAAATGCTGGGTTACTGAAATGCTAGGTTACTGAAATGCTGGGTTACTGAAATGCTAGGTAACTGAATTGCTGGTTACTGAAATGTTAGGTTACTGAAATGTTTAAGGTTACTGAAATGCTAGGTAACTGAAATGCTGGGTTACTGAAATGCTTGGTTACTGAAATGCTGGGTTACTGAAATGATGGGTTACTCAGAAATGCTGGGCTATTGTAATGCTATGTTGCTGAAATGCTTGATTACTCAAATGCTGGGTTACTGAAATGATGGGGTACTGAAAGGGGCAAATGAAATGAAATGTTATTGAAAAGTTGAGTTATTTAAATTAAATACATTGGTATAACGTAAATACAAAATGAAAGCCAAAACCAGTATGATCGGATGGTCAATACTTATTTTTTTACATACCTTATCATGGGGGTCTTGAACACCACACAAAATATCAACAACACTGTATGACTGTGTCATGTAATAATAATCAACAAGACTGTGAACCAGCCAGGCCTCTTTAGCTGGAAACAAGATAATTTTCATGAAAATTTAGAAATAATGCACATGGTATCTCTCTTCCATTTTTATTACACTGTTATTTTTGTCCCAAATTATGGATAAAATAACAATTGTCTAAGATTTAAAGAATCAATTCTAAAGAACTAGAAAAAAAGGTTGGTAGAATTACACAACCCTGTTTTACACCACCTCATAGATGAAACATTTTCATTTTAAAGTACATAAATTATGATTTAAATTTTACCCACTAGTTCAAGTTTCACCCTTAGCTAGCTGATACCAAAAGTGATTTTCCTTTGCCAGTACTAAGTACAGAGCCAGGCCAACCTGAACTTTGGTGCAGTCTCACCAAGCTCTATACTGTTGGCAGTTAAAATTTTGTATTTTGACACGAAAATCCAATTCAAAGCTAGGCATATCCGTTATACAAACTGAGCAGGTTAAGAGTTACACTGACAAACTGACTTACTTGATGCGAGGTTTTCTTGTATAAGAGTTTTGATCCCATCACAAACTTGTATCTCCTGGGATTCCAGCAAGGAAAACACATCTGGCGACAGAACTCCTGTCTTAACATCTATTTGTGTTACATTGCTTGTCATAGTTAAATTCTATGGGTCCACTCTAGGTAGTTCTGTAACATCATCTGCAAATGAAATTCATAAGAGATTCAGGCCAATGGACAAGTTTTAAAGGGACTCCACAGAAATTTTTTTTATTAAAGGGACTCCACCGAGGTTTTTTAATATAACAGGACTGGATTTTTTTTTCTTTTTTTGAGATTTGAGTATCATTTGATGGAGGTCTGGAACCATTATTTAGATGCAAAAAATTACGATCAATCACTAAAATTTTTCTTCAAGAGCATTCATTTTATGTGTGCAAAATGATCAAAAAATGAAAAGCCTATGAATGTTCAAATTAGGCTACATGTAGGAATTGCATAAAGATTTTCAATTCAATTCTGACACTATTTTTTTTCATTATCTTTTGATATTTTTCTGCTGAAGTGTTCCACATTATCTATGCTAGAATTTCAAATTTTATATTTTAATGCTTTTGAATGGGTTTCGACTAATGAACACCGGATAGGACTCATATCCTCAGATATGACTGAAAATACCAGATTATATGACTTGTTATTTTCAAACTTCAGTTTTTCCATTGTTTTTCTTCCTTTGATAATGTATAATAATAAAAAAAAAAAATATATGCAAAAAGATCATTAAATTTGACACATGAATAATAAAGTATTAAATTATATTAGTTTTGTGTTCTATAAAAGTCATATGAATCCGTGACAGGCAGGAAATTCCGAATATATTTTCAAGGAAAATTTTATGTTCAAGGAGAGATGATTCTGAAAAAATGACTTCTAGAGTTATGAACATTGTCATATTGATGTAGTTGATGATAAGGAACATATATTTGAAGTTTGAAGTTAATACCTTTAAGAAATAAAAAACTTACAGTAAAAATATTTTACTGCACAAAAACTTAAATCTGAAATCTAAAGGCAGATGTCCTGTCTGCATGAGTAGAACAACTTTCCATATACTTGTCATAGTATATATTAAGTCTCTGATTATGCATATTGTAAGAAATTTCAACTACTGTAGACAAAAAAAAACATTTCACAATGACCAACAAGACAAAATTTTGTTTGTTATGTTATGATATTGGACTAAAATATGATGCAGCCCTAATCTCCAGTTGCCTGTTCTGTATATCATGTGGATGTGAATCATTAAAATCTATCAAATACAAATATTTTTTCCAATTCTTAAACTTAATTTTGATGCCAGAAAATCTTGGATTTCTTTACTTTATTACCAGTAATGAAAACCACACTTAATAAATATAATTTAGTCTGTTAATATAATTAATTATTACAGTAATTGAATCCCTTTGGAAATGAGATTTTGGCTGATTGGGTAATCCTAGGGTAACATTACCCTATTTAATTATTACCTTATCAAATATTATTACCTTATTAAACAGGCTGGTGGAAATCCCTGAAGAGTCTTATGACATAACAAGAGCTGTCGATAGGACAGCAACGCTCGACTATTCTTAGTGCTTGATAGTAAAAAAAAATCCTTGATACAATTACCTCCTCCTGTTTACAGGTTGGGGTTATGATGGTGAACAAGTGTGCAAAGTTTCAAAGCCATATGTCAATGGACTTTGAAAATATTTGAACTATTACAAAAACTTTAACGTAAATTCTAAGTCAAAAAAGGGGCATAATTCTGTCAAAATGCTTGATACAGTTACCTCCTCCTGTCAACAGGTTGGGGTCATGATGGTGAACAAGTGTGCAAAGTTTCAAAGCCATATGTTAATGGACTTTGAAAATATTTGAACTATTACATAAACTTTAACGAAAATTCTAAGTTGAAAAAGGGGCATAATTCTGTCAAAATGCTTGATACAGTTACCTCCCCCGGTCTACAGGTTGGGGTCATGATGGTGAACAAGTGTGCAAAGTTTCAAAGCCATATGTCAATGGACTTTGAAAATATTTGAACTATTACAAAAACTTTAACGTAAATTCTAAGTCGAAAAAGGGGCATAATTCTGTCAAAATGCTTGATACAGTTACCTCCTCCTGTTTATAGATTAGGATAATGATGGTGAACAAGTGTGCAAAGTTTCAAAGCCATATGTCAATGGACTTTGAAAATATTTGAACTATTACAAAAACTTTAACATAAGTGGTTACGCCGACGCGGACACCAACGCCGACGCCGACGCTCGGGTGACTACAATAGCTCTACTTATTCTTATCGAATAGGTCGAGCTAAAAATCATATGTCTAGAAAAATATTTCTTTTAAGCTTACTGTCACTTTTGTGAAAATTATTTCCCCTTTTTCATGTTAAGTTTATATAACACAATTTTTTGTAGTACCTAAAAAATATACTGGTTAGGGAGATAAACTCGGCCGAAAATCAGTGTTTTGAGGGTATATTTCATTTATTTGTTTACGTATTCTGATGAATCTTGCACCATAATAAACTTCAGCTCTTTGATTTTCCGGTATCACCATAAAAGTTACATTTAGAAACATAACGGGTAATTTTGAGAGTCACTGGAAGTGGTACGTAAAAAGGATATTTTTAACGCGCGCCAGTAGATAATTCTGGCTCTTTGTTTTTCTTCTTAAATGAGTAAGTTTAAACGTAAAATAACATGTTTACAGGGTTCATACAGATCTCCAATGCCAAAATTCAAGGACTTTTTAAGCCCTATTTAAGCATGTTTTCCCATTTTTCAAGCACATTTGTTGCACATATACCGACACAATTTTCAATCGAAGATGGGTAGTTTATTTGCCATTTTTTGTTGAATACACATTTTCTGACCACAATTTTAAGGAATTTATAGAAGAACAAGAAAGGGTCATCAAATACAGATAAGTTCAAAACAACTGCAATTTGCCCACTTACTGTTACCTTGAGTAAACATTTTATTGATTTTGATACTAAATTGGATCATTTTCTTTTTACTTTGTTACTTTTTATCGAAACTATGTTATTCTGTGTTTCAAATTTTCAAGCACATTTTCAGCATATTTAAGCACTTTTTAAGCACTTTTCAAGAGAGTAATCAAATTCAAGGACTTTTAAGCACTTCTTTTCATTTTTAAGCACTTTTTAAGAAAGGGACTCAAATTTAAGCACTTTTTAAGACTGTACGAACGGTCTACCGCCCAAATCGGTAGGGTTCACATGTATGCGAACCCTGGTTTAGACATTTTATTATTCCTTTGCTGTTCATTTAAGTCAAATAAAAATATTTGTTACCAAAATTGTTGAGCATTTCGTTAGTTTAATGAATATCAATGATAACATGATATTTATATGCAACTTACTATGTAACATATAAACCATTTTTACGTAAAAACACACGCATTATCATTTATTTACGTATAACAAAATATGTAAGAATTAGTGATTCAAAATTTATTTTTGCTTAGCTTAACAGAGTGAAGAAAAAATTAATTTAGTTATATTCAACCTACACATTAACATATAAAAGGAGCATTTAACACCAGTCTTCTCACTTCCCTCAGACGAGTGCACTTCTTGAGAAGCAACAGGCATATCTGCAAAAGATTTACAACTTGTGGTAGACAATTAAATTTTGCCTTCCAACGTGGACGCGTAACTATACGGAACTCCTACTTCGTCACTTCTCGGACCAGCTCTATGTCTCTGATAATGGCGAGGAGTGGCCCTACAAAGTAGCTTGAGACGCCGAGGATGGTTTACTAGTGTGAGCCCCTAGTACATGATAGAACGGCTTGGTAAAGGCATTCCTATAGCTGGCACCAACAGCCCTTTCAAGGGCTAAACAACCTTTCCTATTTCACAGGTTACTGTCATTTAGTTTCATTGACCGCCGACATGACCTATTTTCGGCTCAATATTCAATCGTTGGCTAATACTCCGTTGAATTTGCATTGAGGTAAAGGGTTAAATTTAACATCCCACCATTTTGGTGCTTCAAAAAAAAAAAAAATTTATAACTCTTAAATAAAGGACATGACTGGTGACATGTCCGGGGTCCGTACTCGACAGCGCAAGCTGCATTTTGTGCCCGAAAGGGCGGATGGACCCTCATTAAGCTTTAACTACATACATACCATTCCACATAAAGATTACAATTGTGTAATCAGCCTTTTTCTTTAGCAAACCAAAAGTGAGTCTGAACTTCATCTACAAAAAGTAAACGTAAACGTCGTCTGCTTTACCGGTACCCGGTCAATATATAAAAGTACCCCTGTGCTGGCCTGAAAATGAGCATCTGCTGCACATGCGCACAACAATGGGATTCCCGTACTTTTTATAGGCATGTTTTGTAAACAAACAGGTAAAAGTCTGTGTTATTTTTTAAATATCTTACAAAACTTGACAAAATTTCCAGATATTGTCGAATTCAAGCGATAGTATGAGATTGTTAGCTTGATTAGATTAAAAATTCTGATAACTCGATTTAATTATAAAAAGCCGAGTTTATCAACCAGCCGAAGTTATCTCCCCAACCAGTATTACATAATTATACAAAGTATAAAAAAATAGGTTAGGCTAAATTATGTCTTTATGCTCCAATTCATTGCGTCAACACCTGTCAGCATACATCAGTTTTCAAAAAAAACTTCAAAGTATAATTATAATGTTCAGTGTCAATTTATGAATTGTCAAAGTATTTGTGCCAGAAAGTGAGAACAGAATATACAATCCAAATATACAGAATAAAGGTAATATGAAATCCAAATATATAGAATAATTATATTGGCACAATAATTTTGAGCAACATGAATTTGTTGTCAGGGCACATTTCTGTTAATAATTTTACATTACAACATATTTATAAGGACTTCAAAAATTATCAAATATGAATCTAATATATTTACCCTATTAAATCTACTATTTAATTCCATTATTATATTTTCGTTGCATTTTTGTGGGTTTTATATGCCTGTTGATATATGTGACAATATAGTAACATCAGTATGTGTTTATATTACCTTGAATAAATCAATACGAAACAGTACTATGGCGAAAAACATAATGTTCGAAAATTGTTTGTACGAAAAACGAATGTTAAGTACCTGTAACTCTTCAAACAAATACGTATACTTTGTAAAGCATTAAATACAAATCAGTTGTACATTGTCTATTCAATAAAATGACAATGTTTAATAAAATCATACATCAGAAAAACAAAGTGTCTAAAAAATGCCAGATTCCACTTTTGCACAGCCTACAAATTTCCCTTGGAACAGACCACTTTTTATTAAAGGAAGAGTGGGTCAATAGTTATTTATTTTAAAAGAAAATTTCATTCAAGATTTACATATGATTTATACATTTTTTGAGACATTTAACAAACTTTTTACAATAAAAATATAAACGCCCTAAACAGTTGTTAAATCTAAATTGCTCTAAACGATTGTGTAACCGCCTTACCTAATCAACCTTTAGTTATAATGAACTGAACCTTGAAATGGAGGATTGAATACTTCCGGCGTTTCTTGCGGGAAGTCACCACACGCATTTTCATAAATGTTAATTTAATTGGACATCTTTGAACAATTATATTGTATCCATAAGATAACGTTATATTTATCCTACCTTAAAACCATACAATGGAACATGACGACATTGACGAAGATATAGAACGCTTGAATATAATTTTGCAAGATGACGATGGCGAGGATGCCGAAAGTGATGGAGAACTAAGAATTTTAGAGAATAACGGTAGAGTTATTTTTCATTTATTGAATTTTATTTATATTCTTCGTTATTTTACGTCAATGACATTACCTTATTTCATGGTTTTTATCTAAAATTGATATCGAAAGAAGGGAGAAAAAAATATAGGCAAGGGAAGTTACTCCTGATTATGTATCAAAGTACTGTAAAGTGATGATTTTACACGAGGTACTGTAAAGTCATTTTATTTGTTAGATAATAAATTTTTGTATTTTTTTTTTTGTTTTTCAGCCGTTGTAATGAAGTGTTCCATTTCAATTGCTTTATTTTAAAGATTTGTTGACCTGCATAGTCCTAATGATCTGACACTGTTTTCTTTCATCTTCCATATAGCCTACCCATAGGTAATCGGCGCGAATTGATTGGTCACTACCCCCGCACCCCCCTCCCCCCTCACCCCCACACCCACTCTACAGCCCTCCTACCTCTCAAAAACCATGTAAAATACAGTATTTTTTCATTTGAAAC